GGAGGAGCAGGAGGAGGAGGAGGAAGGGCGTTTGTTGTTGTGTATTATTGTGGTGTTGTGTATTGTTGTCATGCGCAGATGTTTGCGACCCTGGAGGAGGCGGGGCTTTTCCCATGACCTTTGTGACCTGTGACATTTAGGCTCGTCTGCCCTGGTGCATGCTGGGAGTCAGAGTCCAGCTGCAGCGGATTACACCGGGTTTATGCAAATCATATGCAAATGAGCTCATCAGGAGTTCGGGTCTGTCTGCTCCTCCAAGAGACTCCAGCCCGGTTTAGACCCGGTTTAAGACCCGGTTTAAACTCGGTTTAGGCCCGGTTTAGACCCGGTTTAGACCCGGTTTAAACTCGGTTTAGGCCCGGTTTAGACCCAGTTTAGGCCTGGTTTAGGTAAAACAGATGCCCATTGTTTTCCTCCTGGAGAAGATGAGAAGATCAAATTCCAAACTGTGAGGTGGATCTGTCCTGTTTCTGCTTTTTGCACACAGAATTATGCTTTGATAATGTACAAAAAAATGAAAAAATAAACAAAAAACAAAAAATAAACTTTGTTACAAAAATAATATTTAGATTATAAAATATTTATAGTCCTGGTTTAGTCCTGGTTCAGACCTGGTTTAGTCCTTGTTTAGTCCTGGTTTAGATCTGGTCAACCACAGCTGAGGGAATATTAAATTGTTTAACTACTGAAATTGAGGCTGTAAAATAAAAAAAACATCATGGTGAGTTGGACAGGAGCCCAGGATCAGGTTTGGACATATTTAATCTAAAAATGTAGAGTTTGTTTGGTAATTTATAAAAGGTACATATAAACTGATTTCAATATAAATCTTTTAAATTCCCACAACAATACAAAAATAACTGATTTTATAACAATTATGTAGAGTAATAATTTATATCCACTGATCACCAAGACCACGAGAGAGACACAAGATCCTGATGGATAAAATGTTCACTAACTCAGCTGGAAACAAATAACCGCTGTGATACTTCTGAACGATATCAGTGATCGTCTTCTGGTGTTTAATATTTTTCCTCAGCTCTTACAGAAAACCACACCACTGATGATCAGACACAGAACCCCTGAAGCCACAGCTGCCCTACAAACACATTTATACAATCCGACGCGGGATGAGGTCTGTGCCGCTCCCGACCCTGATAAGGCCTACGATGCTTTTTAGACCGCACCAATTCACCTTTACGATCAAAACTGTCCACCAAAAACTCTGTCCACCGAAAACTCTGCCCACCGAAAACTCTGAAAAACTCTGCCCACCGAAAACTCTGTCCACCGAAAACTCTGCCCATCAAAAACTCTGCCCACCAAAAACTCTGCCCACCAAAAACTCTGCCCACCAAAAACTCTGCCCACCAAAAACTCTGCCCACCAAAAACTCTGCCCACCAAAAACTCTGTCCACCAAAAACTCTGTCCACCAAAAAACTCTGCCCACCAAAAACTCTGCACCAAAAACTCTCCACCAAAAAACTCTGCCCACCAAAAACTCTGCCCACCAAAAACTCTGCCCACCAAAAACTCTATCCACCAAAAACTCTGCCACCAAAAACTCTGCCCACCAAAAACTCTGCCCACCAAAAACTCTGCCCACCAAAAACTGTCCACCAAAAACTCAGCTCACCAAAATCTCTGTCCACCAAAAACTCTGTCCACCAAAAACTCTGTCCACCAAAAACTGTCCACCAAAAACTCTGTCCACCAAAAACTCTGTCCACCAAAAACTCTGTCCACCAAAAACTCTGTCCACCAAAAACTCTGCCCACCAAAAACTCTGTCCACCAAAAACTCTGTCCACCAAAAACTCTGTCCACCAAAAACTCTGCCCACCAAAAACTCTGTCCACCAAAAACTCTGTCCACCAAAAACTCTGCTCACCAAAAACTGTCCACCAAAAACTCTGCCCACCAAAAACTCTGTCCACCAAAAACTCTGTCCACCAAAAACTCTGCCCACCAAAAACTCTGTCCACCAAAAACTCTGTCCACCAAAAACTCTGCCCACCAAAAACTCTGTCCACCAAAAAATCTGCCCACCAAAAACTCTGTCCACCAAAAACTCAGCTCACCAAAAACTCTGTCCACCAAAAACTCTGTCCACCAAAACTCTGTCCACCAAAAACTCTGTCCACCAAAAACTCTGTCCACCAAAAACTCTGTCCACCAAAAACTCTGTCCACCAAAAACTCTGTCCACCAAAAACTCTGTCCACCAAAACTCTGTCCACCAAAAACTCTGTCCACCAAAAACTCTGTCCACCAAAAACTCTGTCCACCAAAAACTCTGTCCACCAAAAACTCTGCCCACCAGAAACATAACCAACCAACAGAAACCGTGGATAACAAAAGGCAGAGCCAATGCAAAAGGAAAATCATATTTATAAAACATAGATCCAAAGAAGCAGAACAAAGATATAAAACCTATAAAAAATAAATTCATAAGTATAATGATATTACTTTCACAAATTATTGGAACAGCATAAAAATAATATCCAAGGTACTTGGAAAATGTTAAATAGTATAAGTAAAGAGGGCAGTAAAAATGATTTTCAAAACTATTTTGTGAAAATGAACTAATTATAATTAAAAATAAGAAAATGGCAAATGCTTTTAATAATTTCTTTGTCGAGGTTGGACCGACCTTTGCAAATGAAATTTTTCAACCATCAGATTTAAATGGAATAGAATTAACAATATCAAATCAAATGTCAATCATTCTTTGTTAGAATTGTGAACGAAAATGAAATAATCAAATCTGTGAGACTGTTTTAATATCGACAGGGTGTTGGTAAAAAATATCATAAATTGTTATTGCTGCACCGTTCACACACATCTATAACCAAAAATTAAAATGGCAAAAGTAACACCCGTCTTTAAAAGTGGAGCTCAACACCAATTTACCAATTATAGACCCATTTCTATATTGTCACAATTTTCAAAAATACTAGAAAAATGACATACTGTTAGGCTGGATAATATTCTTAATAAATATAATCTTATCTTCTCTGGACAGAATTTAGAGCAGGACATAGTTGAAAAAAGAACTTACTAAAGAAGGTTCGGGTTAGGGTTACGTTAACCCTAACGCTAAAGAAATGGTTTAATTACAACAAATTATCAGTGAATTTCAGTCAAACTAAATCTAGAATCTTTGGTAACAGGATAATTGAAAATGTAACTAAAATAAAAATGACACAGTTGGAAATATAAAAGAAAAGTAATACAACGTTTTGGGTATTAACAGAGACGAAAAGCTTATACGACCTAAGACAAAAATATCTAAAATTATGGATATAATGTGTAAAATCAAAACAACCATGAATCAAAGCTCACTCTGTCTGTTACATAACTCTCTAATTTTGCCACATTTAAATGATTGTTTAGACATTTAGGGGAACAATTACAAAACAACTATTCAACCATCTTTATACTCCAGAAAAAAGCCATAAGAATCGTAAACTGTGTCGATTGTTCTGCTCCAAAAACTCAGTGTTTACAAGTTACAGAACAGAGTTGACCTAAACACAGCCTCTGTTATGTGTAAGGTTCATAATCACATGTCACATGTTCCTGACTGTATTCAGATTCAAACCCAGAGACTCGTTATAATCTGAAAGGAACTGGAGTAAATATAAAAAGGTCAAGACCAACACTAAAAGTAGATGTTTATCAGTTAGAGGAGCAGATCTGTGGACGAGTCTGGATGACTCTTAAAAGCACTGACATCAATAAAGGCATTTTTAAAAATGTATAAATTTAATTCTATAAACAAGTACAGAGCGCTAGAACCATTTAACGACATATTCTTACTACACTGACAAACAATAAGATGATCGTGTAAATCGTGCAGGCGACAGAAGCAGGTGAGTGGAGGAGAAATGTGGATGATTTTGAAGGAAAAGTATTTTTTCTTTTCTCAGGTGTAGGAAGTGGAATAGAGTTCATTCAAAAGAAACACTGTACTGAACTCACGATGACCGAGATTATTATTATTGTGTAGATTTTTCTCCGTTCTGTCCATGTTGTTAGGGTTTAGGGTTTAGGGTTTAGGGGTTTAGGGTTTAGGGTTTAGGGTTTAGGGTTTAGGGGTTTAGGGGTTTAGGGGTTTAGGGTTTAGGGGTTTAGGGTTTAGGGGTTTAGGGGTTTAGGGTTTAGGGGTTTAGGGTTTAGGGTTTAGGGGGTTTAGGGTTTAGGGGTTTAGGGTTTAGGGGTTTAGGGTTTAGGGGGTTTAGGGTTTAGGGGTTTGGGGGTTTAGGGGTTTAGGGTTTAGGGTTTAGGGTTTAGGGGTTTAGGGTTTAGGGGTTTAGGGGTTTAGGGGTTTAGGGTTTAGGGTTTAGGGGTTTAGGGGTTTAGGGTTTAGGGTTTAGGGTTTAGGTTTAGGGTTTAGGGGTTTAGGGGTTTAGGGTTTAGGGGTTTAGGGTTTAGGGTTTAGGGGGTTTAGGGGTTTAGGGGTTTAGGGTTTAGGGTTTAGGGGGTTTGGGGGTTTGGGGTTAGTTGTTGTTTGCTCACAGTTGTGTTCTTCGTCATCTTTTGTAAACAGCTCAAATATTCAGAGGTGATTTCACTTCAGCCCAAACTCGTTTGGTCACAGTTTCATGTGAAATGTTTGTAACAGTTTGTTAAGTACGTGAATGAAGGAAATAAACTACTACTACTCTGCTACAAGTACTACTACTACTACTACTACCACTACTACTTAGGGTTAGGGTTAGTTAAACCTGGTTCAGTCCTGGTTCAGTCCTGGTTCAGACCTGGTTCAGTCCTGGTTCAGTCCTGGTTCAGTCTGAACCCTAACCCTGGTCATGGGATGTTGAACCTGAACTTGACATAGAGACAGATGAAGTCCAGACTTGGACTAGACCAGGACCAGCTGGTCTTTGTGAGTCCTAATGAGGATCAGTGATTAGACCCAGTGTGACCCCAGAAGAGGAGGAGGAGGAGGAGGAGGTATTATGGGATGGAAACAACATATGTGTGTCGGGGTGTGTGTGTGTGTGTGTGTGGTGTGTGTGTGTGTGTGTGTGTGTGTGTGTGGTGTGTGTGTGTGTGTGTGTGTGTGTGTGTGTGTGTGTGTGTGTGTGTGTGTGTGTGTGGTGGGGTGTGTGTGTGTGTGGTGGGGTGTGTGTGTGTGTGTGTGTGTGTGTGTGTGTGTGTGTCGGGGTGTGTGTGTGTGTGTGGTGGGGTGTGTGTGTGTGTGTGTGTGTGTGCTCCAAACTCTCTGTTCCCCCTTGTGATGTCATCAAGTGAACAGCTCCTGTTCCTTTAGTTCAGTGGAGACTGAACAGATCCAGATGATTCTAGTGAAGGTTTAAAAACACACCACATGATGACATCACGAGGTGAGAGAAGAACTTATGCTAAATGTGCATAAGTGTTAAAAATGTGGAGACAGGAGCAGGCAGGAGCAGACAGGAGCAGACAGGAGCAGGCAGGGCAGGAGCAGACAGGAGCAGACAGGAGCAGACAGAGCAGCAGACAGGCAGCAGCAGCAGGAGCAGACAGGAGCAGACAGGAGCAGACAGGAGCAGGCAGGAGCAGACAGGAGCAGGCAGGAGCAGACAGGAGCAGGCAGGAGCAGACAGGAGCAGACAGGAGCAGGCAGGAGCAGACAGGAGCAGACAGGAGCAGGCAGGAGCAGACAGGAGCAGGCAGGAGCAGACAGGAGCAGGCAGGAGCAGACAGGAGCAGGCAGGAGCAGACAGGAGCAGACAGGAGCAGACAGGAGCAGACAGGCTGAAGTGTGGGAACTCGAGCTGAAGTGCCTCTTGTGAATTAAACTCAGACTCTTTTATGACTCTGACGTTTATTATCATCTGAATAGAGTGACCTCTGACCCCACCCCCTCACTGTGACCCTGCAGCCTGAGGGGGCGGGGCTACGCGCGTGTACAGCTCCGCCCCCTCAGTCGGCACATACGGACAGAACACAGAGCATCATGGGAATCTGAAACTAAAGATTCTCTGCCATCTCCTCCAAGACCTGGTCTAGTCCTGGTTTCGTCATGATTTAGATCTGGTTTAGACCTGGTTTAGTCCTGGTTTAGTCCTGGTTTAGTTCTGGTTTAGATCTGGTTTAGTCCTGGTTTAGTCCTGGTTTAGATCTGGTTTAGTCCTGGTTTAGATCTGGTTTAGTCCTGGTTGAAACTCCATCTCTTACATGTATCTACATGAGCACAGTGAGACAGAAATCAAACCTGCAACAAAACCAGGACTAAACCAGGACTAAATCAGGTCTAAACCAGGACTAAACCAGGACTAAATCAGGACTAAATTAGGACTAAATCAGGTCTAAACCAGGACTAAACCAGGACTAAACCAGGACTAAATCAGGTCTAAACCAGGACTAAACCAGGACTAAATCAGGTCTAAACCAGGACTAAACCAGGACTAAATCAGGTCTAAACCAGGACCACCATCTTGTCATGTTTAGTCCTGCACCTCGTTCACTGCTTCTCCTCTTTTACAGTGTTTATTATGTCCTTCTCTCTTCCTCCAGTAGTAGTACTGTAGTACTGTATAGTACTGTACTACTGTAGTATTGTAGTACTGTATAGTACTGTAGTACTGTAAATAAATATATATAAATAATAAATATATATAAACATACTATAGATATACTATATAAATAAATACAAATATAATATAATATAAATATAATATAAATAAATATAAAATAATATAAATATAATAAATATAGTATAAATATAATACATATAATATAATATAAATATATTATAATAAATATAAACTGAATATTTGACCCGTTTGTGTTTTAGTTTCCGTGGGCGGAGCTTCAGAGTTGCGCTTCCTGAAAGAGCCCAGTGATGTCATCGCGGTGAGAGACCGGCCGCTCTTATTGGACTGTGAGGCCGAGGGGGAGGGGCCAATCGGCGTCACCTGGCGACGTAACGGCGTCGCCGTGGAGACGGACGACAGGGTTAGTGTCCTCGCTAACGGCACGCTGCTCATCAGGAAGTTCTCCAAACGTCGCCATGACAACGAAACAGACGCCGGCGAGTACGAGTGCGCCGCCACCAACCGCCACGGGCTGGCGCTGGTGAGCCGCCGCGCCAGAGTACGACTGGCCTGTGAGTACTGCTACTACTACTGCTACTACTACTGCAAATACTACCACTGCTACTGTCCCGCTGTGGTCACTGCTGCCCCCCTCTGGTTCGCTCTGGTTCGGCTGCAGATTTGTTTTTATTTGATTTGTTTGGATTTTTTTCAGCTTTGCCGAAGTTTTCGTCGCAGCCTCAGTCCCTGGTGGCGCCTGAAGGGGGCGTGGCACGTCTCAGCTGTCAGGTGAACGGAGTCCCCGAGGCCAACATCACCTGGCAACGCAACCGACAGGTGCTGCCGACAGGGGACCCCAGGTAAGAGCCAACTGCACCTGTCCAACAGACAGGACCGACAGGTGTAAACCGCCTCACACAGACAGGACCGACAGGGTGTGTTGTGTGGCAGGTACACGCTCCTGCCTGTGGGGATCCTGCAGATCTCGTCCGTCAGGAGTTCGGACTCTGGACTCTTTCGTTGCGTCGCCTCAAACATCGCGAATACTCGATACAGCGACGAGGCGCAGCTGTCCGTCACAGGTGAGACACGCCCCTTTACACCTGACCCCGCCCCCTTTCTCTGATCTCTGATCTAAACCCGGTCTAACTCCGGTCTAACCCCGATCTAACTCCAGTCTCTGGTCTCTGTCTGGTCCAAACCCGGTCTAAACCTGGTCTCTGGTCTCTGTCTGGTCTAGTCTCTGGGCGGCGCTCTTTCCAGGACCCCGTGATCCTGTCCGGACCTCAGAACCTGACCATCACAGTCCACCAGACGGCCATTTTAGAGTGTGTCGCTACCGGCAACCCCCGACCCATCGTGTCCTGGTCCAGACTCGGTAAGACCTGATCTAGTCCTAGTCCAGTCCCAGCCTAGTCCTGGTCCAGTCCCGGTCTAACCCCGGTCTCTTGCAGACGGCAGGTCCATCGGGGTGGAGGGAGTCCAAGTTCTTGGTTCTGGGAACCTGATGATCTCAGACGCTGGTGTGGAGCACAGCGGAGTCTACGTCTGCTCCGCCAACCGCCCGGGCTCCAGGACCAGGAGGACCGCACTGGGACGACTGCAGGTCCAAGGTACCACAGAGACCGGTTATGATCCTGGTCTAGACCTTTTATGATCCTGGGTTAGGGTTCAGATCCTGGCGTATTGCGCCCTCTGCTGGAGAACATTATCACAGTGTGAGACGATTTTTTAAACTGTCATAAAATCATCAAACATAAAGATTTTTCAAAGATTTTTTGTTCCTTTTTTTTTTGTGAAGAGATTTTCTTCAAAAACAGATTTACTTTGTAAATTATGAAACGTTTGGTCATTTTCAACATTTTGAATAAAACACAATAAAATAAATAATGAATAAAACAAAATAATTTAATGATGAATATTTTTGGGGGGTTAGTGTGTGTGTGTGTTTGTGTGTGTGTGTTTTTTGTGTGTTTGTGTGTGTGTGTGTTTTTTGTGTGTTTGTGTGTTTTTTGTGTGTGTGTATTTTTTGTGTGTTTGTGTGTGTGTGTTTGTGTGTGTGTGTTTGTGTTTTTGTGTGTGTGTTTTTTGTGTGTTTGTGTGTTTTTTGTGTGTGTGTGTGTTTTTTGTGTTTGTGTGTGTTTTGTGTGTGTGTGTGTGTTTTGTGTGTTTTTTTGTGTGTGTGTGTTTTTTGTGTGTTTGTGTGTTTTTGTGTGTGTGTGTTTTTGTGTGTTTGTGTGTGTGTGTTTGTGTTTTTTGTGTGTTTGTGTGTTTTTTGTGTGTGTGTGTGTTTTGTGTGTGTTTGTGTGTGTGTGTGTGTGTTTTTTGTGTGTTTGTGTGTGTGTGTGTTTTTTGTGTGTTTGTGTGTTTTTTTTTGTGTGTGTGTGTGTGTTTTTTGTGTGTTTGTGTGTTTTTGTGTGTGTGTGTGTGTGTTTTTTGTGTGTTTTTGTGTGTGTGTGTTTTTTGTGTGTTTGTGTGTTTTGTTTTTGTGTGTGTGTGTTGTGTTTTGTGTGTTTGTGTGTGTGTGTGTGTGTTTGTTTTGTGTGTTTGTGTGTGTTTTTGTGTGTGTGTGTGTTTGTTTTGTGTGTTTGTGTGTTTTTTGTGTGTGTGTGTGTTTTTGTGTGTTTTGTGTGTTTTTTTTGTGTGTGTGTTTTTTGTGTGTTTGTGTGTGTGTGTGTTTTTTGTGTGTGTGTTTTTTGTGTGTTTGTGTTGTGTGTGTGTTTTTTGTGTGTTTTGTGTGTTTTTTGTGTGTTTGTGTGTTTTTTGTGTGTTTGTGTGTTTTTTGTGTGTGTGTGTGTTTTTTGTGTGTTTGTGTGTTTTTTGTGTGTGTGTGTGTTTGTGTGTTTTTTTTTGTGTGTGTGTTTTTTGTGTGTTTGTGTGTGTGTGTGTTTTTTGTGTGTGTGTTTTTTGTGTGTTTGTGTGTGTGTGTTTTTTGTGTGTGTGTTTTTTGTGTGTTTGTGTGTGTGTGTTTTTTGTGTGTGCGTGTTCACTGTTAACACATTTTATTTCACATGTAAACGTTTGTGTGTTTTGTGTTGTTGTTGTGTTGTTGTGTTGCAGCTCCTCCAGAGTTCACTCAGTGGCCTCAGTCCCTGACGCGGCCTCCAGGGGGCAGCGCGGTCTTCACCTGCACGGCGGCAGGTGAACCTGAGCCCACCCTCACCTGGCTCAAAAACGGGCGGGTGCTAAAGGCTAACGCTAATGTGCGCATTAGCAACAACAACTCGTGAGTCGTTTTTGTCGTACAGTCTGGGGTTGTGGGTTTAACTCCGTGTGTGTTGTTCATTGTCGTCTGAGGTTGTGGGTTTAAAGGTTGTATAGAGGATTTTCCAAGGAACGAGAAATCCAGCGACTGTTTGTCCTTTTTCAAATGTTGCTCCTGCGTGAAACCACCTCCTCCCCTACAGCTCCTACGTAGAAACGCCTCCTCCCGCCTCCTCTTTACGCCAGAAACAGGTTTGTTTACAGCCGGTGAACTGCACATGACTTGTAAACAACTAACTACAGTGTTGGTTAGGCAAGACGGAGAAGTGAGGAGCAGAGAGAAGAGCGGAGCAGGGAGAGGGGAGAGAGGAGAGAGAGAGGAGAGAGGAGAGAGGAGAGGGGAGCGGGTGCGCGGAGATTCTGTGCCCGGAGAAGTGAGGATCAGGGGGAAGAGTGGATCGGGCAGCGGGGACAGGAGCAGGAAAGGGGAGCAGAGAAGGTTGCGCGGAGATTCAGTGCGAATGAACTAACTACAACACGCAGCAGCAAGCGGACTCTTTCTTTGCCTTGAAAATTACGTTTTCAGACATAGGATATCGCTTTCGTGTCCTGAAAAACGTTTGTCTCGCTCTTGGAAATAAAGTACGTTTTCATAATAAGCAGAAGTTTCCTGTCCAGGAGTAATTTGTGGACCAGTGGTTCAGTCTTTAGACCCTGCGTCTGCTTCAGTCGCACCATCGCTGGAATGAATCTACAAGAATCACCTTAGTTTGGCTTCGCTGCTTTTCCCCTTGTCTTCTTCTTTCACCTCAAAAACGGACTTTCTTTTGCGGCTAACTGCTCCTGGATTCTTGTCGCCATCGCAACAAACTTTGTGCAAACTGCGAGGAAGATATAGGTCAAAAAAAGCCGCTAAGAACTGTTGCGTTGGTGGAGTAAACAGCGTCTGTGCATCTTGCGTCTGTGGACTGCGTGACAGTCGTACGTAAACCACGTACCAGCTGCGCGCAGGCAGGTCAGTTACGCTAGAAACGTAGGGAGTTTGACTGACAGCCTGTCAGCTCACAGATAACGAGGCAGTGTCGTTATCTATTGGCAAATGTTTAGCCCCACCACGTCCAGAGTTGATGAATTTTTATTCTCTTTTTTTTGGTCATCATAATTACAAGGCGACTGCACCTCTATAATGCTATCATTGACAATTTGAAACAAAAAAAACAAAAAAAAAATCCTCCATACAACCTTTAACTCTCTGTCGTGTTTCAGGACTCTGGCGATCACTCGGATCACAGCAGAAGATGAGGCCATTTACCAGTGCATCGCCGAGAACAGCGCCGGTAACTACAGCTCCCATAATGCACCTCTGTCCACCCTGTTGTGTCTGCGCTCTGCCTGATCCGTGTCACTGTGGTTTAAAGCGGCACGGATCCGGCACCGACGTGATTCACTTTAGCTCATCTGCGTTTTTGCTCCGCCTGATCCGCGTCTTGTGTTTGTGAATAGGGACGAATCAGGCGAGTGCGCGGCTCGCTCTGACTCAGGGCTCCGATCTCCCATCATGCCCCACTGGAGTACAGGCCACGCCCCTCAGCTCCACTTCCATCGAACTGAGCTGGGACCCGCCCCCACCACCAGGGGCCGCCCCGGGGCCCCGCGACATCATCGGCTACGTGATCCACGTCCGCAAGCTGGGAGGTATGAGAACGGGAGGGCACCTGACACACTGGGAGGGACCTGACACACTGGAGGGACCTGACACACACTGGGAGGGCACCTGACACACACTGGGAGGGCACCTGACACACACTGGGAGGGACCTGACACACTGGGAGGGACCTGACACACTGGGAGGGACCTGACACACTGGAAGGACCTGACACACTGGGAGGGACCTGACACACTGGGAGGGACCTGACACACTGGGAGGGCACCTGACACACTGGGAGGGACCTGACACACTGGAGGGATCTGACACACTGGAGGGATCTGACACACTGGAGGGACCTGACACACTGGGAGGGACCTGACACACTGGGAGGGACCTGACACACTGGAGGGACCTGACACACTGGGAGGGCACCTGACACACTGGGGGGACCTGACACACTGGGGGGGCACCTGACACACTGGAGGGACCTGACACACTGGAGGGACCTGACACACTGGGAGGGACCTGACACACTGGGAGGGACCTGACACACTGGAGGGACCTGACACACTGGGAGGGCATCTGACTCATTGTGTGCAGAGCCGGAGAGCGAGGAGCTGCAGGAGGCCGTGTCCAGGTCAAAGTTCAAACATCAGCTCCAAAACCTGGAGTCCGCCACGACCTACGACCTCCGAGTGCAGAGCTACAGCGGCCTGGGGGCGTGCGCCGGCGCCACCGCCAGGACGGAGGCAACAACGCTCGGAGGAGGTGAGGGGGGCAGGGGTCAAAGGTCAGAATGAACAGCCTGACAGCAGCAGTTACCCCGAATGTACCTCGAATGTACCTCAGAGACAACAGAGCTCTCACGTTTAAACTCTAAACTCTGTTTATTCTCACGTTTAAACTCTAAACTCTGTTTATTCTCACGTTTAAACTCTAAACTCTGTTTATTCTCACGTTTAAACTCTAAACTCTGTTTATTCTCACGTTTAAACTCTAAACTCTGTTTATTCTCACGTTTAAACTCTAAACTCTGTTTATTCTCACGTTTAAACTCTAAACTCTGTTTTAAATCTCTAAAGTGTCAGAGTGGAGGTTTTCAGTTACGAGTCGTATCTGTGGAGCTGCGTTAACGAAGCTCATCTCTGTTTCACTTTTCCTCTTTCCTCTCATCTTCTCGTCTCCTCATCTTCACATCTTCTCGTCTCCTCGTCTCCTCATCTTCTCATCTTCTCGTCTCCTCTTCTCCTCATCTTCTCGTCTCCTCATCTTCACATCTTCTCGTCTTCTCGTCTTCTCATCTTCACATCTTCTCGTCTCCTCATCTTCTCATCTTCTCGTCTCCTCATCTTCTCGTCTCCTCATCTTCTCATCTTCTCGTCTCCTCATCTTCTCGTCTCCTCGTCTCCTCATCTTCTCGTCTCCTCATCCTCTCATCTTCTCGTCTCCTCATCTTCTCGTCTCCTCATCTTCACATCTTCTCGTCTCCTCATCTTCTCGTCTCCTCGTCTCCTCATCTTCACATCTTCGTCTCCTCATCTTCTCGTCTTCTCATCTTCTCATCTTCTCGTCTCCTCGTCTTCTCGTCTTCTCGTCTCCTCATCTTCTCGTCTTCTCGTCTCCTCATCCTCTCATCTTCTCGTCTCCTCATCTTCTCATCTTCTCGTCTCCTCATCTTCTCGTCTCCTCGTCTTCACATCTTCTCGTCTCCTCATCTTCACATCTTCTCGTCTCCTCATCTTCTCGTCTTCTCGTCTCCTCATCTTCTCGTCTTCTCGTCTCCTCATCCTCTCATCTTCTCGTCTCCTCATCTTCTCATCTTCTCGTCTTCTCGTCTCCTCATCTTCTCATCTTCTCGTCTTCTCGTCTCCTCATCTTCTCGTCTTCTCATCTCCTCATCCTCTCATCTTCTCGTCTCCTCATCTTCTCATCTTCTCGTCTTCTCGTCTCCTCATCCTCTCATCTTCTCGTCTCCTCATCTTCTCGTCTTCTCGTCTCCTCATCTTCTCGTCTTCTCATCTTCTCGTCTCCTCGTCTCCTCATCTTCTCGTCTCCTCATCCTCTCATCTTCTCGTCTCCTCATCTTCTCGTCTCCTCATCTTGACATCTTCTCGTCTCCTCATCTTGACATCTTCTCGTCTCCTCATCCTCTCATCTTCTCGTCTCCTCATCTTCTCGTCTTCTTCTTCTCGTCTCCTCATCTTCTCGTCATCTTCTCGTCTCCTCATCTTCTCGTCTTCTCGTCTTCTTCTCGTCTCCTCATCTTCTCGTCTTCTCGTCTTCTCGTCTTCTCGTCTTCTCGTCTCCTCATCCTCTCATCTTCTCGTCTTCTCGTCCCAGTTCCTGCGTCTCCCTCGTTCTTCACTAAAGTCTTGAACCAGACGTCGATGCAGGTGCACTGGGACCTGCCCAAACCCGGACAGGTGCAGGGCTTCAGGGTCCTGATCCGGCAGGTGCAGAACGGACAGGTGCAGAGCCGACAGGAGACGCTCCCGCCGCACATCAACACACACACCTTCTGCCACCTGGGTACGTGTGTGAACTCGCCCAACTCGAACGCACAACCACACAACAAATATGTGTGTCGTTTGTGTGTCGTTTGTGTGTCGTTTGTGCGTCGTTTGTGTGTCGTTTGTGTGTCGTTTGTGTGTCGTTTGTGCGTCGTTTGTGTGTCGTTTGTGTGTCGTTTGTGTGTCGTTTGTGCGTCGTTTGTGCGTCGTTTGTGTGTCGTTTGTGTCTTGTTTGTGCGTCGTTTGTGCACCGTTTGTGCGTCGTTTGTGTGTCGTTTGTGTCTTGTTTCTGTGTCGTTTGTGCGTCGTTTGTGTGTCGTTTGTGTCTTGTTTGTGCGTCGTTTGTGCACCGTTTGTGTGTCGTTTGTGTCTTGTTTGTGCACCGTTTGTGCGTCGTTTGTGTGTCGTTTGTACATCGTTTGTGCGCCGTTTGTGCGTCGTTTGTGCGCCGTTTGTGCACCGTTTGTGCGTCGTTTGTGCGTCGTTTGTGCGTCGTTTGTGCGTCGTTTGTGCGTCGTTTGTGCGTCGTTTGTGCGTCGTTTGTGCATCGTTTGTGCACCGTTTGTGCACCGTTTGTGCACCGTTTGTGTGTCGTTTGTGTGTCGTTTGTGCACTGTTTGTGTGTCGTTTATGCACCGTTTGTGCGTCGTTTGTGTGTCGTTTGTGCATCGGTTGTGTGTCGTTTGTGTGTCGTTTGTGCATCGTTTGTGTGTCGTTTCTGTGTCGTTTGTGCACCGTTTGTGTGTCGTTTGTGCGTCGTTTGTGTGTCGTTTGTGCGTCGTTTGTGTGTCGTTTGTGTGTTGTTTGTGCACCGTTTGTGTGTCGTTTGTGTGTCGTTTGTGCACTGTTTGTGTGTCATTTGTGTGTTGTTTGTGCACCGTTTGTGTGTCGTTTGTGCACCGTTTGTGTGTCGTTTGTGTGTTGTTTGTGCACTGTTTGTGCACTGTTTGTGTGTCGTTTGTGTGTTGTTTGTGCACCGTTTGTGTGTCGTTTTTGTGTGTCGTTTGTGCGTCGTTTGTGTGTCGTTTGTGTGTCATTTGTGTGTCGTTTGTGCACCGTTTGTGAGTCGTTTGTGTGTCGTTTGTGCGTCGTTTGTGTGTCGTTTGTGCGTCGTTTGTGTGTCGTTTGTGTGTCATTTGTGTGTCGTTTGTGCACCGTTTGTGTGTCGTTTGTGCATCGTTTATGTGTCGTTTGTGCGTCGTTTGTGTGTCGTTTGTGTGTCGTTTGTGCGTCATTTGTGCGTCGTTTGTGCACCGTTTGTGCGTCGTTTGTGTGTCGTTTGTGCATCGTTTGTGTGTCGTTTGTGTGTCGTTTGTGCGTCATTTGTGCGTCGTTTGTGCACCGTTTGTGCACCGTTTGTGCGTCGTTTGTGCATCGGTTGTGTGTCGTTTGTGCATCGTTTGTGTGTCGTTTGTGTGTCGTTTGTGCATCGTTTATGTGTTGTTTGTGCGTCGTTTGTGTGTCGTTTGTGTGTCGTTTGTGTGTCGTTTGTGTGTCGTTTGTGCACCGTTTGTGCGTCGTTTGTGTGTCGTTTGTGTGTCGTTTGTGTGTCGTTTGTGTGTCGTTTGTGCGTCGTTTGTGCACCGTTTGTGTGTCGTTTGTGTGTGTTTGTTTGTGCACCGTTTGTGTGTCGTTTGTGCATCGTTTGTGCATCGTTTGTGTGTCGTTTGTACACCGTTTGTGTGTCGTTTGTGCGTCGTTTGTGTGTCGTTTGTGTGTCATTTGTGTCGTTTGTGTCGTTTGTGCGTCGTTTGTGCGTCGTTTGTGCATCGTTTGTGCGTCGTTTGTGCGTCGTTTGTGTGTCGTTTGTGCACCGTTTGTGTGTCGTTTGTGCGTCGTTTGTGCCTCGTTTGTGCGTCGTTTGTGCGTCGTTTGTGTGTCGTTTGTGCGTCATTTGTGCGTCGTTTGTGTGTCGTTTGTGTGTCGTCTGTGCGTCATTTGTGCACTGTTTGTGTGTCGTTTGTGTGTCGTTTGTGTGTCGTTTGTGCGTCGTTTGTGCGTCATTTGTGCACTGTTTGTGTGTCGTTTGTGTGTCGTTTGTGTGTCGTTTGTGTGTTGTTTGTGCGTCGTTTGTGCGTCATTTGTGCACTGTTTGTGTGTCGTTTGTGTGTCGTTTGTGCGTCGTTTGTGCGTCATTTGTGCGTCGTTTGTGTGTCGTGTCTGTGCGTCATTTGTGCACTGTTTGTGTGTTGTTTGTATTTCGCTTGTGTTTCATTTTGTGTGTTTTGTGTGTGACTGTTTTCATTTGTGCGAGTTTATTTCTAAAATTATTCATTATTTTTATGTTATTTTGTGTACTTGTAGTACTGTATATTTGTAGTACTTGTAGTATAGTATTGTAGTATTTGTAGTACTTGTAGTATTTGTAGTATTTGTAGTACTTGTAGTTTGTAGTATTGTAGTACTTGTAGTACTTGTAGTACTTGTAGTACTTGTAGTACTTGTAGTACTTGTAGTATTTGTAGTACTTGTAGTACTTGTAGTATTTGTAGTACTTGTAGTACTTGTAGTACTGTATTTGTAGTATTGTAGTACTTTAGTATGTATTGTAGTATTTGTAGTACTTGTAGTACTTGTAGTATTTGTAGTATTTGTAGTACTTGTAGTACTTGTAGTATTTGTAGTACTTGTAGTACTTGTAGTACTTGTAGTACTTGTAGTATTTGTAGTACTTGTAGTACTTGTAGTACTTTGTAGTACTTGTAGTACTTGTAGTACTTGTAGTATTTGTAGTACTTGTAGTACTTGTAGTACTTGTAGTACTTGTAGTACTTGTAGTATTTGTAGTACTTGTAGTACTTGTAGTACTTGTAGTACTTGTAGTACTTGTAGTACTTGTAGTATTTGTAGTACTTGTAGTACTTGTAGTACTTGTAGTATTTGTAGTACTTGTAGTACTTGTAGTACTTGTAGTACTTGTAGTACTTGTAGTACTTGTAGTACTTGTAGTACTTGTAGTACTTGTAGTATTTGTAGTACTTGTAGTACTTGTAGTACTTGTAGTACTTGTAGTACTTGTAGTACTTTACTCTCTGTGTTTCTCAGACTCTGGACGTTTGTATGAAGTGGATCTTGTGGCTTTTAATGGAAACGGAGAAAGTTCCTCAAACAAACGAATGATTTCACTGAGCGACACACAAGGTACAACACAACACACAACACACACACACACACACACACACACACACACACACACACACACACACACACACACACACAACACACACACACACACACACACACACACACACAACACACACACACACACACACACACACACACACACACACACACACACACACACACACACACACACACACACACACACACACACACACACACACACACACACACACACACACACACACAACACACACACACACACACACACACACACACACACACACACACACACACACACACACACACACACACACACACACACACAACACACACACACACACACACACACACACACACACACACACACACACACACACACACAACACACACACACACACACACACACACACACACACAACACACAACACAACACACACACACAACACACACACACACACACACACACACACACATACACACAACACACACACACACACACACACACACACACACACACACACACACACACACACAACACACACACACACACACACACACACACACACACACACACACACACACACACACACACACACACACACACACACACACACACACACAACACACACACACACACACACACACACACACACACACACACACACACACACACACACACACACACACACACACACAACACACACACACACACACACACACACACACACACACACACACACACAACACACACACACACACACACACACACACACACACACACACACACACAACACACACACACACAACACACACACACAACACACAACACACACACACACACACACACACACACACACACACACACACACACACACACACACACACACACACACACACACACACACACACACACACACACACACACACACAACACACACAACACACACACACACACACACACACACACACACACACACACACACACAACACACACACACACACACACACACACACACAACACACACACACACACACACACACACACAACACACACAACACACACACAACACACACTATATACACACACGTGACCTCTGACCTCTGTGATGTCATGTGACCAGGCTGTGACTGTTCCCGTGGCGACCGCTCCTCTCTCCTGATTGGTTTACACAGCGGCGTGGCCTGTGTCCTCTGCTGCCTCCTGCTGGTGCTCCTGCTGCAGCGCCACAGGTACGTCCTACCTCCTACCTCCTATGTCCTACCTCCTACCTCCTATGTCCTACCTCCCACCTCCTATGTCCTACCTCCTACCTCCTATGTCCTACCTCCTACCTCCTATGTCCTACCTCCTACCTCCTATGTCCTACCTCCTACCTCCTATGTCCTACCTCCTACCTCCTATGTCCTACCTCCCACCTCCTATGTCCTACCTCCTACCTCCTATGTCCTACCTCCTATGTCCCACCTCCTATGTCCTACCTCCTACCTCCTATGTCCTACCTCCTACCTCTTATGTCCCACCCTAACCCTAAATGACTGAATTTTCAGTCCCACTCAGACCTCTACTGCCTGCGTCCTACCACCTACATTCTACCTCCTCTGTCCTACCTCCTTACTCCTCTCTCCTCATCTCCTTGTCTCCTTTCCTCCTTGTTTCCTAACTCCTTGTCTCCTCAGGTCTCGCGCTCACAAACATGACGCGGGGATCAGATCCAAAGTGGAGAACTTGGAGCTGAGTCAGGTGAGCTGTGCCATTGTGCTCTTGAGCACGACACTTTTCTGTGAGATTCTCATTAAACTTAAACTCTACTTTTGTTGTTTTTCAGCGAGGAGCTTCGGCGCCACTCGTCGTGTCCGTCCAAGGTCCGGCCCCGCCCCCTGCCTTCCCTAACGCCAACCACGCCCCCGACCACGGCCACGCCCCCGACCACGGCCCCGACCACGGCCACAGCCCTGGCCACGCCCACCACCAATCCAACCAATAACACGAGACCAACAGATCAAGCGCAACCAAACACACTCACCAAACTGCCTCCTTCCCTACCTCCTTACTCCCTTGCCTCCTTCCTTACCTCCTTACTCCCTTGCCTCCTCCCTACCTCCTTACTCCCTTGCCTCCTCCCTACCTCCTTGCTTCCTTGCCTCCTTCCTTGCCTCCTTGCTTCCTTGCCTCCTTCCTTACCTCCTTGTGTCCTTGCCTCCTCGCCTCATTGCGCCCCCTGTTGGCTCCTCTCGTTTTTCAGATGTTTCTCGACCTCAAACTTTGACTTTGTGTTTTTTATCAAATGTAAGTTTGATATTTAGTAAATTTATAAAACTCTGAACAGACAGAAACTTAGATCTTATTAAACTCTAAACATATTTACTTATACAGTATAAACGGAAATATATTTATATATATATATATATATTTATAAAGTGAAACTGTCACCTCCTAACTCCTCTCTCCTTGTCTCCTAACTCCTCTCTCCTTGTCTCCTTGTCTCCTAACTCCTCTCTCCTTTATAAAGTGAAACTAAAGGATCAAAGCCAGAATTATCACGAGTGCCTTTCCGTTCAGTTAGCATTAGCGTTAGCATTAGCATTAGCATTAGCGCTAACTCAGGCTCCAAGAGATGAGAACCTTATAGAAACAGTGCCTTTAACACAGAGCTGCTTTTACTTTTAACCATTTCAGAGTTTTTATTATTATTATTATTATTATTATTTTATTTTATTTTTATTGGTCAAACATCATCTGAAAAAATGATTTGGATCAAGCCGACCTTCCTCATCCTGTCTCCTTCCTCATCCTGTCTCCTTCCTCCTGTCTCCTTCCTCATCCTGTCTCCTTCCTCATCCTCATCCTGTCTCCTTCCTCCTGTCTCCTTCCTCATCCTGTCTCCTTCCTCATCCTGTCTCCTTCCTCCTGTCTCCTTCCTCATCCTGTCTCCTTCCTCATCCTGTCTCCTTCCTCATCCTGTCTCCTTCCTCCTGTCTCCTTCCTCATCCTGTCTCCTTCCTCATCCTGTCTCCTTCCTCCTGTCTCCTTCCTTCCTTGTGTCCTCACCTCCTCCAAAGACGCTCTGTTAGCCGTTAGCCGTTAGCTGCTGGATTTGAACCAAAACAAGTGAGACCAATGTTTGCCTCAGAAAAGTCTTTAGGGTTTAGAGAAAAAAAGAGAAAGACCCAAACGTTTGTGGTTTGGGAGGAGATTTCACTAAAGACGAGAAAGTCTGAACGTTTGTCAAGTTTAAGTTTTAAAAGAGTAAAAAGACGTTTGGTCTTTTGCTCCAAACTGTTGGATTTAAACCATTTATTTTGTTGTTGTTGTTTTTCAGAAAAAGGAACTTCGTCCAAAGAGTTTTTCTGAAAATAATTTTGTATTTTCATATTTCTGAATTTTAGATTTAGAGCCAAATACAACTTTGACCAAAAGTTACAGAAGATTCAGTTTGTGCCCAACGTTATTACCTCCAGTGTCTTTAAAAGTGACCTCTGACCTCTGTGACCTTTGACCTCTGTGACTCCTGACCTCTGTGACCCCTGGCCTCTGTGACCCCTGACCTCTGACCTCAGGACGGGGAAGTGCGACCTTTCGCTAAACGTGTCATATTTCACATAAAAACAAATGAAATATATTCTAAAGATTTTTGGCCAAGTTCTGCGATTTTCTCCAGAGATTTAATAATTTTCACACCTGGTTTAGTCCTGGTTTAGTCCTGGTTTAGTCCTGGTTTAGTCCTGGTTTAGTCCTGGTTTGTTTGGATTTCTTGATCTCCAGATTTGCATCAGGACGACATTCAGCACCGACAGGAAACTATTTCTTTACTATTTCAAACTTTCTCTCAGCGCAGTTTAGCCAAAGGTACGAAAAGGACCCTGACTCTGACCTCTGACCTCTGACCTCTGAGCCAAAGGGCCGTGACAGATTCTGGGGTCTAACCACTTATGAACTTTACTAAAGTGAAAGTGAAAGTGAAAGTACACCATGATGAAAGCTCCACTGCTTTGCTCAGAGTCGCCCCCTGTGGCTCAGAGTCGCCCCCTTGTGGCTCAGAGTCGCCCCCTGTGGCTCAGAGTCGCCCCCTTGTGGCTCAGAGTCGCCCCCTGTGGCTCAGAGTCGCCCCCTTGTGGCTCAGAGTCGCCCCCTGTGGCTCAGAGTCGCCCCCTGTGGCTCAGAGTCGCCCCCTGTGGCTCAGAGTCGCCCCCTGTGGCTCAGTGCTCCCCCTTGTGGCTCAGTGCGCCCCCTTCAGGGCGTCAGGGGCACTGTGGGGGGCGTGGCTTTTGTTCGTTTTCTTTCACTGTGGTGATTTTCAGTGAAGAAGAAAACGCTGCCAAAATAAAAACGAAAATATTTTAAACTTTTTTAAGCTTTTAAAGTAGAATTGAAATTTAGAGATAAAGAAAGTAGAAATAAAAGTGTAGAAATGTTGAATGTAGAAACAGGAGCTGAAGCTCGGACCAATGAAACGTCGGCTTTAAACAAAGGTTTACGTAAAATGTGCTTTAACCTTTGACCCTTTCCCAAATTTACATTTCTGTTTTTGCTCCAGAAGTTTCATTTATTTTGAGAGTTTTCTTTGACTTTTTTAATTTTGTAAAACTCTTGTTTCAGTGTAAAAGTCAAACTCAGATTCTGTCGGTTAAATTTGATGTTTTTACTTTCTTCGTTTTGTATAAACCAAATAAAAACAGTTCATGAAAAACAAAAGTGACTTTTATTTTATTAAAAATGTTGTAATGAGGTTTGTAATATGTGAAAAGTTGAGTGGTGGTGAACGATCACTACAGGTGTGGGGTCGGGGCAGGAGTTCTAGACGTTCAGGTGAGTTCAAATGAGGGAGTCACATCCAGGTAAATGTAGAACGTTTCTTTAATGTCTGAGCGCTTAAAGACGTGTGTGGTTCTCTACAAGAGAAAGAACAAACAAATACAAATAACATATTAATAATAAATCAAAATGGTGGTTAATCGTGATTATTTACAGAATAATGCAAATTAGAAAGTGGCCAATAGGGGGCAGTGTGGTCAGTGCAGTTTTGATATAAATAGATCTACATTCATTTACCCAGGTTTAATACAGGTCTGTTGACCTGTACAGGGTGTGGGTCTAATGAACAGAACAGTTCATGTCCATAATGGAGCGTCCACACCTCTGGTCCTGACCTGACTCCACCTGTTCTTCTCTTGTTTGTTTTGTTGGAGGTTTGAGGTTGGACGTGTGAACAGGAGACAGATGGAGTCTGAGTCTGTTTCTGTTTAGAGAAAGATTCTCTTTCTTAACAAAAACAGTTTCTTTCACTCTCCTCTCAAACCAGTTCTTTTCTCTGGATCAGATCTGAACCTCACTGTCCTCAAACGAGTGACCTGAGGTTTTTAAGTGGAGATGAACATCAGACTGAGGTCCTGTGTTGTTCTCTCGTCTGTGTTGGTTCATCCTCTTGTGACGTGTCTATAGTGTGTGTGTGTGTATATAGTCTCTGTGTGTATACAGTGTGTGTGTGTGTGTGTATAGTGTGTGTGTGTGTGTGTGTGTATAGTGTGTGTGTATTTGTAGTCTATATATAAAGTCTATAATCTGTACAACTCACCAAGTCTAAAAGAGTTTTCAACCAAAGTGTCTCAGAGTCGGAGGTGAATGTTTCAGTATCGGTGATGAAGGTTCGATGTTGCTGGACGAAAGTAACTCAAACTAAACGACTGAAACACAGAAGCTCCTTTGGCAGACGAACGATGAAAAATGAACCTGGAGCCTGGACTTCAGAAGAAGCAACGTGAAACCGAACGTGAAACCGAACGTGAAACCGAACGTGAAACCGAACGTGAAACCGAACGTGAAACCGAACGTGAAACCACGTCCCCAAAGACAATTTTATTTTTACTGCAAACTTCTGAAGACTTTAACCTGCCCCTGTCAGCTGACAGGTGCAGTGCTGACAGGTGCAGTGAGGGGACCCTGAGGCGCGCGCTTTTATTGCTCATGTTGAGCCTCTCGTGCACGCGCACGTGCACATCTGTATTAGGGGCGCGTGCGCGTGGGTGAAAAACCCTGTGGATGAAGAGGGACGCACGCGCGCAAAGAAGCGGGGGCAGAGCGTGCGCGTACCCGCTGTGCGTGTGTCGCGGGGGCGGCACGGCGCGTTCACGCTGATGTTTCTGCGGAAGCGTCTCAGCGGCAACGCGCTGTGCCGCTGCAGCGGCAGGAGCGACGCGGAGAGCGGCGTCAGAGCGCGGCAGCCCCGCGGACTCACGGTCAGTGTCTCCGAGTCTGAACCGGGTCTAATCCGGATCTAAACCGGGTCTAAACCGGGTCTAATCCAAGACTAAACCGGGTCTAAAGCATATACATGTCTATACAGTCTATGATTTAGTCCCGGTCTAGTCCTGGTTTAGTCCTGGTCTAGTCCTAGTTTAGTCCTGGTTTAGTCCTGGTCAAGTCCTGGTTTTGACCTGGTTTAGTCCTGGTTTAGACCTGGTTCAGTCCTGGATTAATCCTGGTTTAGTCCTGGATTAGTCCTGGTTTAGTCCTGGTTAAGTCCTGGTTTTGACCTGGTTTAGTCCTGGTTTAGTCCTGGTTTAGTCCTGGTCTGTGTCTGGTCTGTGTCTCCGGTGTTTCGATCCAAGCGCGTGTGCAGGTGCGCGCGAGTCCGCGTGTGCGTGAGTGTAAATATAGAAACATCGTTCTGACGTCACAGCCGCATTCCTGCGCATCTGCACGCGCCTCAACTCAGTTTAGAAATAATCTAGGACTGAACCAGGACTGAACCAGGACTGAACCACTGAGGGACCAACCAGAATTCCCAGATCTTCTTCCAGGTCTTTGAATTGCTTCTTACTAATTGGATCACAAAGAGCATCGGGTCATGACATGATTCTTTCTGTGAGGAAACCTCAAACTAAAATAAACGTCTCATTTCATACAAAACTAAAACACGTTAAAACTCAAAAAAATCTAGGACCTCTGCTGGAAAAGAACTTTAGGGAAACTGATTGGATTCAGTATCTGACTGAAAATTGTTCAGAAAATCACTACAGGTCGTTTACGGCACAAGTCAAAATAATATGAAATTTGAAATGTGTTTGTGAGAAAAGTGAAATGCAAAACAGGTCATGGTAAAAACTTTCTCCAAAAACAGAAATATCCTGATAGGACATTATTTAGTACTTGAAGAAATAAAGTCACAAAAGAGATTAGAAAGGCCAAAGCATCTTGTCGTTAGTGTGACGACTCGGCCTCACGCCGAGGCTCTGAAATATGTGGTGAAATCGACAGGTTTTCACATTAGATGTTGAGGGTCATTGATGTTACAGATCAATGTTAAAGCAGCTGCACTAACGTGGCCTTTGTGAGTGTTCGGCTCTGACTAGAAGTAAATTTGGAGGCACCACTCAACAAATGTTGAGAAATATCACCAATACAATTTAATCAATTACCTATGTTAATTAATTAATTAATAATTAATTAAACAATTGATCTGAAGGTTCATAAATTCTCGTCATCTGTCTTGAACATCACTGTTCACCAAAACTAACTGTGGTTTATGAATATTTATTGACCAAGTGAAACAGAAACATTTAAATATCAAATATGTAAAAGTAAGTTTCTCTAAACTGGAGTCTAGATCTGAGATTAAACACAACTTTAAGAGTTTATCTAAACTTCTGTGTTGAGTCTAAATGGATAAAGTTTGTGGTTCTGGGACAGTGACACGTACGACATGTGGACATGTCCAGTCTCCATGTGCTCCTCACACGTCCAATGAAGGTTTGAGTTTCTCAGGACGTCGGTTCTGAAAAATCAAACACGATGAAACGGACGAAGGCCACGTGATCTGAACGATACTTCAGGTTCAGTCGGCGTCAGGCTGAAGGACGTTTTCCTTTGTTCCAGAGGATCAGACGACACGTTTTAGTGTCCACGAGGTTTAAGCAGCACTGCTCACAGATTAAGGCTAATTAATCAAAAAGACTATTGTCTGCAAAAACATGAAAGCTTCACTTTCAAATCAGATCAGCTCCAGGTATTTGAATAAAAACACTTCCAGCGACGGCGCAGCTTGAACAGAGGGAGAACTTGGGCGTCGTCCCTCCTGTTCGGCTCAACTACATCTGGAACATTCTGAGCTGAACTGCTTCTGCGATCTTCTGCTGAACTGAGATCTGATGAACTGAACGAACTGGGCTGGGGTCCGTCTTTTTCCTGTTAATTCTTAAATTAGGCGGAAAAACTGACCAATGAGGTGTGTGTTTGTGTGAGATGTTGTATGATGTGAGGAATGTGAGTTTGTGTGGGGAGTGTCATGTCACAGCTCTCTTATTACAAACTATGAACATTAACAGTTTTACACAAGTAAAGTTTTCACATGACATTTACAGATCAGTATTAAAACACACTGGCCATAGTTCATCAAATGAATCGAATTTCATTCCTTTTCTTTCTCTGGAGAAAGTTCATTGGCTTGAGATTTAGAGATTGTTCCATCAAAGTCGATTATAGTCGGTGAACTCACTTCAGTCGATTGGTTTATCAATAGGTGAAGTTTTATAGAAAAGTTAGTTTGTAAAAAGATCTTTAATCCTTGACGTGGTCTTTGTGTGGTACATCATGCAGGAATGTCTCTGCACAAGTCAATAAATCTTGATTTGGTCCAAGGTTCAAGAAAGGGAAGTTCAGACAAATGGGGGAAGGGTCGAGTGTCTCAAAGTTCACCTCTGTCAGAGACGTTGTACAAACTAAGATTCAGTATCATGGTAATAGTCATGATTTCACATCCTGCACAGGTCACAGGTCAGAGCTCTTACATCACTAATGCCATTAATAATTCCAAAGGAAATGCTAAAGAGATCTGGCCGAACCTGAAGAAGCGAACAGGAAAATCAAACACAGAAAATAAACCAATGAAAGTGAAAACAGAGGAACATGAGGAACATGTGTGTGTGATGATTTAAGTGTGGTCGCTAATGCTCTTCATCATCATTGGGTCACAGCATCTAAAAACACAAACTATCCATCCATCCATCCATTTTCGTCCGCTTATCTGGGGCCGGGTCGCGGGGGCAGCAGCCTAAGCAGGGACTCCCAGACTTCCCCTCACCCCAGACATGTCCTCCAGCTCCTCCGGGGGAACCTGAGGTGTTCCCAGGCCAGTCCAGAGACATAGTCCCTCCAGTGTGTCCTGGGTCTTCCCCGGGGCCTCCTCCCGGTGGGACATGAACACCTCCCAAGGGAGACGTCCAGGAGGCATCTGGAACAGATGCCCGAGCCTCAACTGGCTCCTCTCGACGTGGAGGAGCAGCGGCTCTACTCCGAGCTCCTCCCGTGTGACTGAGCTCCTCACTCTGTCTCTAAGGGAGACGCCCAGCCACCCTGCGGAGGAAACTCATTTCGAGCGCTTGTATCCGCGATCTCGTCCTTTCGGTCACTACCCAGAGCTCATGACCAGAGGTGAGAGGAGGAACGAAGACTGACCGGTAAATCGAGAGCTTCGCCTTTCGACTCAGCTCCTCTTCACCACAACGACCGATACAGCGACCGCATCACTGCAGACGCTGCACCTGTCCACCTGTCAATCTCACGCTCCGTCCTTCCCTCACTCGTGAACAAGACCCCGAGATACTTGAACTCCTCCACTTGAGGCAGAGACTCCCCACCCACCCGGAGACGACAAGACACCTTTTTCCGGTCGAGAACCATGGCCTCGGACTTGGAAGAGCCGATCTTCATCCCAGACGCTTCACACTCGGCTGCAAACCGTCCCAGTGCTGCAGGTCCTGGTTCGATGAAGCCAACAGGACAACATCATCTGCAAACAGCAGGGATGAGATCCTGTGGTCCCCAAACCGGACCCCCTCCGGCCCCTGACTGCACCTAGAAATTCTGTCCATAAACACAATGAAGAACAGAACCGGTGACAGGTGCAGCCCTGGCGGAGTCCAACATGCACCGGGAACAGGTCTGACTTACTGCCGGCAATGAACACAGCTCCTGCTCCGGTCATACAGGGACTGGACAGACCTTAGCAAAGGGCCCCGGACCCCATACTCCCAGAGCACCCCCCACAGGACACCACGAGGGACACGGTCGAATGCCTTCTCCAAGTCCACAAAGCACATGTGGACTGGTTGGGCAAACTCCCATGAACCTCGAGCACCGATGGAGAGTGTAGAGCTGGTCCAGTGTTCCACGACCAGGACCAAAACCACACTGCTCCTCCTGAATCCGAGGTTCGACTATCGGCCGGATTCTCCTCTCCAGTCCCTGGCATAGACCTTACCGGGAAGGCTGAGGAGTGTGATCCCCCTATAGTTGGAACACACCCTCCGGTCCCTCTTCTTATACAGAGGGACCACCACCCCGGTTTGCCAGTCCAGAGGTACTGTCCCCGACCGCCACGCGATGTTGAAGAGGCGTGTCAGCCAAGACCCACAACATCCAGAGACTTAAAGTACTCAGGACGACCCCCAGAGTGTTGCCACCAAAGAGCTTTAACCACCTCAGTGACTCCAGCCAGGGTGATGGATGAGTCCGCCTCCGAGTCCCCAGCCTCGGCCTCCTCCTCGGAAGACGTGACGGTGGGATTGAGGAGATCCTCAAAGTTTTCCTTCCACCGCCGGACAACGTCCCCAGTCGAGGTCAGCAGCTCTCCCCCCGCACTGTAAACAGTGTTGGCGAAGAACTGCTTCCCCCTCCTGAGGCGCCGGATGGTTTGACAGAATCTCTTTGAGGCCGTCCGATAGTCCTTCTCCATGGCCTCCCCGAACTCCTCCCAGCCCAGAGTTTTTGCCACCGCAGCCTCACGGGCTGCAGCACGCTTGGCCCGCCGGTACCTGTCAGCTGCTTCAGGAGTCCCCCGAGCCAGCAAGGCCGATAGGACTCCTTCTTCAGCGTGACAGCATCCCTTACTTCCGGTGTCCACCACCGGGTTCTGGGGTTGCCACCGCGACAGGCACCACAGACCTTACGCCCACAGCTCCGAGCAGCTGCATTGACAATAGAGGCCGAGAATGAAGCCCACTCGGACTCCATATCTCCAGCCTCCCCTGGAATCTGGGAGAAGTCCTCCCGGAGGTGTGAGTTGAAGGTCCCTCTGACAGAGGGCTCCGCCAGATGTTCCCAACAGACCCTCACTACACGCTTGGGCCTGCCAGGTCTTTCTGGCTTCCTCCTCCGCCAGCGAACCCAACTCACGACCAGGTGGTGATCAGTTGACAGCTCAGCCCCTCTTCACCCGAGTGTCCAAGACACGCGGCCGGAGATCAGATGACACGACTACAAAGTTGATCATCGACCTCCGGCCGAGGGTGTCCTGGTGCCACGTGCACTTATGGACCTTGTGCTCGAACATGGTGTTCGTTATGGACAAACTGTGACTAGCACAGAAGTCCAATAACAAAACACCGCTCGGGTTCAGATCAGGGAGGCTGTTCCTCCCAATCACCCCTCTCCAAGTGTCACTGTCGTTGCCCACGTGGGCGTTGAAGTCCCCCAGGAGAACAACGGAGTCCCCGGTCGGTGCACTGTCTAGTACCCCTCCCAAGGACTCCAAGAAGGCCGGGTACTCGAGTACTCTGCACTGCTGTTCGGCCCGTAGGCGACACCACAGTGAGAGACCTGTCCCCGACCCGAAGGCGCAGGGACGCGACCCTCTCGTTCACCGGGGTGAACTCCAACACACAGCGGCTGAGCTGTGGGGCAATGAGCCCACACCAGCCCCACCCCCCACACCAGCCCCACCCCCCCACCCAGCCCACACCAGCCCACCGCTGCTCCCCGTGGCCAACGCCAGAGAAACAGAGAGTCCAGCCCCTCTCAAGGAGTTGGGTTCCAGAGCCCAAACTGTGCTGGAGGTGAGGCCGACTACATCTAGTCGGTAACGCTCAACCTCCCGCACAAGCTCAACCTCCCGCACCAGCTCAGGCTCCTTCCCCCCCCGCGAGGTGACATTCCATGTCCCCAGAGCCACAGTCTCCATGTCCAGAGATCCGGTCGTCGACTGCCGCCCAGATCTTTTTGCACCGGCCCCATATGGCTCAGCTCGAAGGAGCGACGTGGGGCCGTCCTCACGAGGGTCCACCACCCGCGGGAGGATCCATATGACCTCATCTAAAAACACAAACTATTACCTCATCTAAAGTACAAACTATTTCTGATTAAAAATAATTTAATTTGTAATAAAAATTAATTCTGCTTTAAAAAGACCATGTAAATACTTAATTCTTAATGATTATTCGGAATTAAATGTATTCGGATTTAAACTTAAATCCAAATTAAATTGGTGGTTTATTCCGATTTTAAAGCCAAATTAATTTATATTTTTATTATTTATAATTATTCCGCTATCATGTAAAAAGTTTATTCCACTTAATAAATTATTCTGGTCGTTCAGTGCATGCGCCCTTCTGACACGATGACGCACTGCAGACGGTGAAAAGAGTTTGGATCATGTTTGTGTCGGGGTCAGCCCGCTGTGCCTGTGTAAGTGCATAAGGTAGGATACAGATGTTCTCGTTAACACCGCGAGCCGTCCTCATCCCAACTCATCACCGTGAACTCATAAAACAGCAGCAGGTACAACTTTGTACAAACTCACCCCACATCAGCCCGGAGCAGCTCTGAGTTCAGGTAAACAGCGGTAAAGTCACAGGACACACCACAGCGCAGCCCGTCCTCCGAGCGCGTTGGTCAGACACGTCCATGTGGTCCAGAGCCTCCAGAGGAACGTGAGAACAGCTGTGGACGCGGGTCCCTGCGGGCGGGTCCCTGCGGGCGGGTCCTGTCCTCCCTGCCTGAGGACTGTGCACACACAACACACTCAACACACACACACATACAGACATATATACAAACCAGGACTAGACCAGGACTAGACCAGGACTAGACCAGGACTAGACCAGGACTAGACCAGGACTAGGACCCTGTGATACTGGGAGCATATTCAGACCATGTGATTGTCTCCTCAGGTCATGTGACTGGCTCTGTGCCCGGTGCATCATGGGAGATGCGGTCCAGACCGAGGGCCACGCCCTCCTGAAGGCGGTGTCTCAGGGGAAGCTGCGATTGGCCCGTCTGCTGCTGGAGGGCGGGGCTTACATTAACGAGGGAAACGAGCGCGGCGAGACGGCGCTGAGCGCGGCGTGCACGTACGGGGACGCTCACGTGCGCACTCGTATGGTGCGATACCTCCTGGAGCAGGGCGCCGACCCCAACATGGCCGACAGCGGCGGGCGCACGGCGCTCATGCACGCCGTGCACCAGCGCGCGGGCGTGCACGTGGTGTCTCTGTTACTGAAACACGGAGCCGACCCGAGTCTGAAGGACTACGGCGGAGACAGCGCCCTCACCCGCGCCCTCGTCCACGCCCTCAGGGACGCCCACGAGCCCGACCGCCGCCCGGACCAGGACCAGCACCGAGACCAGGATCAAGACCAGGATCGTAACCGGACTACAGCCCCAGACCAGGACCCAGAGAACTCCGACACCCCGTCTGAAGACCCAGACGAGGGAGGAGCCACGCTGCGCCTCCTGCTGGACGCCTGTGAGCAAAGAGGTCATGAGGTCCTGATCCTGACCTGCTGCAACGACAGAGGACAACGCACCGTGAGACAGTACCACCACACACCTCCAGACGGACACCATGAGAAGATCCAGGAGAGGAACCAAGAGAAGATCCAGGACAGACCCCACATGAGACAGGCTCCCACAGCTCCAGAGAAGAACCACATGAGATACATCTGCACAGCTCCAGAGAGGAACCAGGAGAGGAACCAGGAGAAGATTCAGGAGAAGAAACAGGCTGGAGCAACCCTGATGGTCACAGAGTCTCAGAGGGACTCGGACTCAGCTCAGAGCGTCAGTGTGAACGGCCTCCCCCCTGACCCCGCCCCTCAAACCCCGCCCCCTCAGGCCCCGCCCCCGAGCCCCTGTCGGCCGCCTCCCCCTCGGACGTGCACGTAGCGAGTGCGCACGGAGAGGGCGTATTCAGCTTCAGCGTGGCTCCGCCCAGGCCCCGCCCCCCCAGGGTCCGAGTCCTGAAGAGGCTGAACTCTGAGCCGTGGGGACTGAGCGCGCCCAGAGCTCCGGCCCCGCCTCCCACACAGGTGAGTCCGACAGGTGTCACACTGTCACCTGTCACTCTGCTCCTGTCAGAGGGGGCGATGTTCTGAGTTGCACTTTATGATAAAACATCCACATTCACACCATAGTCACCAACTCAGACGCTCCACAACGTTCTTCAACTGTGAGAACCATCTGACCCTCTGAGAAGGTCCTGAATGGTCTGACCCTCTGAGAAGGTCCTGAACCGTCTGACCTTCTGAGAAGGTCCTGAATGGTCTGACCCTCTGAGAAGGTCCTGAACCGTCTGACCCTTCTGAGAAGGTCCTGAATGGTCTGACCCTCTGAGAAGGTCCTGAACCGTCTGACCCTCTGAGAAGGTCCTGAATGGTCTGACCCTCTGAGAAGGTCCTGAACCGTCTGACCTTCTGAGAAGGTCCTGAATGGTCTGACTGACATTGTGATTGTGCCCAAACACAGCATGAACGAGTGCGGCCATCCTCCCGTGGACACATCATCTGTAGGAGGATCCATACGGAGCTGGTGTGAAGAGATCTGGACGACAGTCGATGGCAACTGGATCTCTGAACATGGAGACTCTGGGGACATGTCACCTCGCTGGGGGGGAGGAGCCTGAACTCGTGCGAGAGGTCAAGCGTTACCGACTCGATATAGTCGAGGGGGGGGGGGGCAGCAGTGGGCTGGGCGTGGTGGTGGAGGACAGAACCTCTGGACCTTCAGACTGGGGTGGTGGTCCCTCTGTAGAAGAAGAAGGAGGAGGAGGGTGTGTTCCAACTCCAGGAGAATCACACTCCTCACACTCCCCAGTCTGTGTCAGGGACTGGAGAGGAGAATCTGACCGATACTTGAACCTCAGAACCAGGAGGAGCAGTGTGGTTTTGGTCCTGGTCGTGGACACTGGACCAGATCTACACTCTCCATCAGGCTCCAGGTTCATGAGAGTTTGTACAGTCCACATGTGCTTTGTGGATCTGGAGAAGATTCGACCGTGTCCCTCGTGTGTCCTGTGGGGGGCGCTCTGGGAGTCTGGGGTCTGGTCCCTGTACGACCGGAGCAGGAGCTGTGTCTCTGCAGGGAGTCAGACCTGCTCCTGGTGCATATTGGACTCCGCCAGGGCCGCACCTGTCACCTGTTCTGTTCATTGTGTTCATGGACAGAGTTTGAGTCAGGGGTCGGAGGGTCCGGTCTGAGGACCACAGGATCATCTCTGCTGTTCACAGATGATGTTGTCCTGTTGTCTTCATCAGACCAGGACCTGCAGCTCTGGGGCCGTTTGACCTGAGTGTGAAGCGTCTGGATGAAGATCAGATCCTCCAAACCTGAGGTCGAGGTTCTGGAAAAAGTCGTCTTGTCGTCTCAGGGCGGGTGGAGAGTCTCTGCCTCAGGTGGACGAGTTCAAGTGTCGGGGTCTTGTTCTGGAGTGAGACTGACAGGTGGACAGGTGCAGCGTGGGCGGATTGACAGGTGGACAGGTGCAGCGCGGGCAGTGATGTGGTCGCTGTATCGGTCGTTGTGGTGAAGAGGAGCTGATGTTCCTCCTCACCTCTGGTCATGACCTGAAGGACCAGATCCACGATACAAGAGACACAGATGAGTTTCCTCCGCAGGGCGTCCGGGCGTCTCCCTCAGAGACAGAGGTGGGAGCTCGGAGTAGAGCCGCTGCTCCTCCACGTGGAGAGGAGCGTCTGAGGGGAGGACGTCTGTTCTGACGTCTCCTGGACGTGTCCCTCAGGAGGTGTTCATGTCCCACCAGGAGGAGGAGGAGACCCAGGACACACTGGAGGGACCATGTCTCTGGACTGGACTGGGAACACCTCAGGTCCCACTGGAGGAGCTGGAGGAAGTGTCTGGGGTGAAGGAAGTCTGGGAGTCTCTGTTCAGACTGATGCTCCGAGACCCGACAGAGAAGAAGAAGAACATGGATGGACACACATGCACACTACATCTGATGTATATATTTTACACGTCTCTCAGATGTCGTATTAAAATGTGAAGCTTGACCTAAAATTGTTCAAATTGAGACAGACCCGAGCACACAAATGTCTCTGTTTCTGATTGGCTGCAGGAGGAGGTGGAGCTTCAGAAGCCGCCCTCATTGGCCGATCGTCCTCAGAGAAGACACAGCATCGAGACGCACGACCCCGGCCACGGCGAGACGCTGACGGAGACGCTGACGGAGACGCTGACGGAGACGCTGACGGAGAGGCCGACGCTCGCCGACGAGACGAGCCTGGAGCTGCAGGACTCAGACGGTGAGTGACGTGACTGAGGAGTGAAGCAGTAAATTTAAATTTCCTAATAAACCAGACTAATGCTGCATCATCTGCTTATGACAAATGATTCAAAATAATCTCTTAATATAAAAAAAAAAAATTACAGTTGTGGACAAAATTGTCGGTTCCCTCTGGCAATGAATGAAAAATCAACAGTCGTCACTGAAATAACTTGAAACTGATTAAAGCAAAAATAAATAAATAATAATTACTGAAAATTGTCCAATGAAAATCAGACACTGTTTTTCACCTGTGGTTCAACAGAATCATTAGAAAAAAATAAATAATGAAACTGGCCTGGACAAAAATGATGGTTCCTTAACTTTATTTTTTTTTACACAACAATTTGAGGCAAACTCTGCAAACAAATGATTTGTGTAACTGTTAATGAGACTTCTGCTCTGGTCAACAGGGATTTTAATCCATTTCATCGTGAACAAACTGTTCTAGTCTCAGGTTTGAAGGTTCCTTCTCCAGACGCATATTTCAACTCCAGAACAGAAGAACGTTCCAGATCAGTCCAGAGTTTTGTTCTTAGTCGTTCTTGTGTGTTTTTTCGTGTGTTTTGGGTCATTTTCCTGTTGAAGACTCATGACCTACCACTGAGATCAAACTTTCTGACACGAGGCGACACATTTCTTTCCAAAACACTTTGATAGTTTTGAGATTCTGTTGTATTTTTCACAGATTGAAGACACCCTGAGTCTGAGCAGCAGAACAGCCCTAGAACCAAACCAAACCTCCTCCGTGCTTCACAGTAGAGACAGTGTTCTTTTCTTGGTCTGCTTCATGTTTGCGTCTGTGAACATAGAGCTGATGTGTCTTGCCAAAGAGCTCCAGTTTTGTCTGATCTGTCCAAAGAACATTCTCCCAGAAGTTTTGTGGTTTGTCCATCTGCATCGTGACAAACTCCAGTGTCACTTTCTGATGATGTTCTCTGACGGTGTGATCTGACCCTGATGTTCCTCGTCCTTCAACTTCACGTTTCATTTGTTTGGAGGTTGTTCTGGGTCTTTGGTTCTGTTCATATGATTCGTCTCTTCAGTTTGTCGTCAGTTTTCCTCTTGCGGTCGCGTCCAGGGAGGTTGTCTTCAGTCCTGTGGACCTTAAACTTCTGAAGAACATGTGGAAGTGTAATCACAGGAACATCACGCTGCTTGGAGATGGTCTTATTGTCTTTATCTTGAACCTGCTCGTCTCTCATGTTCTTTCTGGTCTCTGTGTGACACAGTTGTCTTCTTCTCTTTCTCTGGTCCATGTTCAGTGTTGTGTCCATCTTGTCTCCAAACACAATGACACATGTGGCCCTTTAAACAGACACACTGACTGAGACTGACGAGTGTGAAGAACCTGTGATGAAGATCAGAGACACACTGAACTTTAACATGTCCATGTTGTCCAACTGTTTACAGTCTCTTCTAGAGGAACATCATGTTTGTCCACGACACTTTCATTAGTTTGTTTTTTTTAAATTATTCTGTTAAACAACAAATCAAAAACATTGTCTGATTTTCATTGGTTATTTTTCAGGATTTTTTTTTATTTATTATTGCTTTTCTTAGTTTCAAATTATTTCAGTGAAAATTGTAGATTTTTCTTTCATTATCAGAGGGAACCAACAATTTTGTCCACGACTGTATATATATATGTTTGTATATATATCATTTCCAACTAACCCTAAAATCAAAAGCGCTTTGTCTTGCATTTTTTGTAAGAAAATGAAAATCTAAACTGGAAAAAGCAGCTGACTGAGCAGAAAGATGAATAAATCTCTTGGTATTATAAGAAAAGTTTGTAAAATTCTGGACATTACATTCTTCTATAGTTTGTGCATTTTCCCGACTCTTCTGAACTAAATATTATTGGTGCAAAAAGGTTTTGTTGGAATTGTAACTGATTCTGTTCACACGTTTGTTCATTTATTCATCAAACTGAACATTCTTAATATTTATCACATTTAGATTTTTATGTATTAAATTCTTTATTATACAACTACTAACTCCTCCCCCTCACCAGACTCCCCCCACCAGACTCCTCCCCTCACCAGACTCCTCCCCCCACCAGACTCCTCCCCCACCCCTCCCCCCACCAGACTCCCCCCAGACTCCTCCCCCTCACCAGACTCCTCCCCCCACCAGACTCCTCCCCCACCACAAGACTCCCCCCCACCAGACTCCCCCACCAGATCCTCCCCCCACCAGACTCCTCCCCACCACAAGACTCCCCCCCCACCAGACTCCTCCCCCCACCAGACTCCTCCCCCACCACCAGACTCCTCCCCCTCACTTTGTTTTTTTTTACGTTGTGCTGCTGTTCCGTGTTTGCTCAGGTGGGGGCGCTGAAGACGATGCTGCTCAGTCTTTCCGACGCCGTTTCCTCCCGCCTCCGCTCGTCGGTTCATCAGAGAATCTGTCAAACTCCTCATCGCCATTAGCGACACGCCGCGGGCGCCAGGGGGCGGGGCTTCTGGAGCGCCGCGGCTCCGGGACGCTGCTATTGGACCACCTCTCCCAGCCCCGCCCCGGCTTCCTCCCGCCGCTCTTCAACCCTCAGCGGCCGATCCCGGACATCCGCACCGCCAACCCCGCCCCCTGCGGCCCTGGCCCTGCCCCCGGCCCCGCCTCCAAACGAGAACTGAGGAAAAAACTGCTGCGACGCCACTCGATGCAACCGGAGCAGATGAAGCTGCTGTCCGTGTTTCAGCACGTGCTCAGTGAGAACGAAGAGAAGTGAAGCATCATGGGAGGTGTAGTGCACAGGGGGAGTGAGGCATCATGGGAGGTGTAGTCCTGCCTGTGCACAGGGGGAGTGAGGCATCATGGGAGGTGTAGTGAGGCCTGTGCCTGTGAGGCATCAGGGGGGTGAGTCATCTGTGCCTGTGCACAGGGGGAGTGAGGCATCATGGGAGGTGTAGTCCTGCCTGTGCACAGGGGGAGTGAGGCATCATGGGAGGTGTAGTCCTGCCTGTGCACAGGGGGAGTGAGGCATCATGGGAGGTGTAGTCCTCTGTATTTGTCGTGGTTTTTGGTGTTGTGGAGGACAGACTCTTGTTTACACTGCAGTATTTGCACCGTGTCATGTGACCGCACATTTCCTGTTATGACTCTGTTATTACAGTGGCACTATTTAAAGCATTATCCTGGAACATTAGGCTGAAGACTCCAGCTCAGGCCGCAAGAGGAGATAAAGGCCCTGTCCCAGTCACAGCGTTTACAGAGAGCTCCAAACCCCAAACCACAGCAGGTCAAAGGTCAAAGAGCCCAGCAGGTGTGTGGGCAGAGCTGAACCCCGTCTCGTGTTCTCGTCTTCTCGTGTTCTGACACTCGGAGGTTTGTGAAGCGTCAACGACTCATTTTGGTCCAAATGTTTAAAAAAAAGCTCTGCTGTAGTGTGACCCTGTGTTCAGTTTTCTTCTGCCTCCCACTTGGACGTTGGATTTGACGTCTCGTCTGAGTTTGAAGTGGATTATTCTGTTACTCCGTGGATTATGATCACGATTATTCCCACATTTTCTGAAAACGACACTTTCATTCATTTCATTTTTGAAATTTGCACTTCATCTTGTTATTTCTCCTCAGTTACAACATCAGAAACATTTACGCCGTTAAATCAAATATTTGTTCAATATCGACTCAATAAACACGACTCCCAAACCCACAGTAAAGTACTGCAGTACTACACACACACTAAAGTATTGCAGTACTACAGTAAAGTACTGCAGTAATACAGTAAAGTACTGCAGTAATACACACACACTAAAGTATTGCAGTACTACAGTAAAGTACTGCAGTAATACACACACACTAAAAGTAACAGTGATACAGTAAAGTACTGCAGTGATACAGTAAAGTACTGCAGTGATACAGTAAAGTACTGCAGTAATACACACACTAAAGTACTGCAGTAATACAGTAAAGTACTGCAGTGATACAGTAAAGTTACATACAGTAAAGTTACAGTTACAGTGATAATACTCAGTGAACTACAGTAATACACACACAGATACACAATACTGCAGTGATACAGTAAAGTACTCAGTAATACACACACTAAGTACTGCAGTACAGTAAAGTACTGCATCAGTACAGTTACAGTACTGCAAATACAGTAAAGTACAGTGATACAGTAAAGTACTGCAATACAGTAAAGTACAGTGATACAGTAAAGTACAGTGATACAGTAAAGTACACAGTAAAGTACTGCAGTAATACAGTAAAGTACAGTATACAGTAAAGTACAGTATACAGTAAAGACTACTGATACAGTACTACTACAGTAAAGTACTGCAAGTAAGTACTGCAGTACACAGTACTACAGTAAAGTACTAAAGTATACTGCAGTACTACACAGTAAAGTACAGTACACAGTAAAGTACTGCAGTAATACACACAGTACACTAAAGTACAGTAGTAAGTACTGCAGTATACAGTAAAGTACTGATACAGTAAAGTACTACAGTATACAGTAAAGTACTGCAGTAATACACACACACTAAAGTACTGCAGTAATACAGTAAAGTACAGTACAGTAAAGTACTGCAGTGATACAGTACTACAGTGATACAGTAAAGTACAGTGATACAGTAAAGTACTGCAGTAATACAGTAAAGTACTGCAGTAAGTACTGCAGTAATACAGTAGAGTACAGTAAGTACTAAGTACACTAAAGTACAGTACAGTAAAGTACTGCAGTAATACAGTAAAGTACTGTAATACAGTAAAGTACTGCAGTAATACAGTAAAGTACTGCAGTGATACAGTAAAGTACATGATACAGTAAGTACTGCAGTGATACAGTAAAGTACTGCAGTACAGTAAAGTACTGCAGTAATACACACACACTAAAGTACTGCAGTAATACAGTAAAGTACTGCAGTGATACAGTAAAGTACTGCAGTGATACAGTAAAGTACTACAGTGATACAGTAAAGTACTACAGTGATACAGACACTTCATATTTACTCGTCACAGTGGGCGGAGCCTCGTGGATTCTGACTCGGAATCGTTGCTCAGTCGACTTTTTCCTCCATCGAGCTCCGAGTCGCACCGTCCCGGGAAAAGGGGCGTGTCACGTGTCGCTAGGCAACTGACTCGGAAAAACGATTCAGAAGAATAATCGAAAGCAACAGGAGGAGGAGCCCACAGCTGGTCCAGCCCTGGTCCAGTCCTGGTCCAGTCCTGGTCCAGTCCTGGTCCAGTCCTGGTCCAGCCCTGGTCCAGTCCTGGTCCAGCCCTGGTCCAGTCCTGGTCCAGCCCTGGTCCAGTCCTGGTCCAGTCCTGGTCCAGTCCTGGTCTCATCAGCTCCGTTGGACTCCACAGTTTTTCTGTCGCTGAAGTCCGCGCTCTTGTTTCTTTCTGAAGTGTTTTTTGGTCGGTATTGAGATTTAAAACGCCACAGTTTGAACAGAAGGATCCACCGGGGTCAGAGGTCAGGGGTCAGGGGTCAGAGGTCACACACACTCGCACACTATAGGGCAGATTCATTTCTGTTTCAGATATGGATGGTCACAGTCGGGTTGGCAGAATTTCATAAACGTTCTGACTGAATCCTCCGCCGTCGGGTCGCAGGGTCAGGAGGTCAAAGGTTACAGATGATACAGGGTCCGCAGAGGGAGACACTGGACCAATCAGGACAGAGACACTGAGACACTGGACCAATCAGGACAGAGACACTGAGACACTGGACCAATCAGGACAGAGACACTGAGACACTGGACCAATCAGAGCGGTGGTTCGGGCCTCGTCACTTCCTCAGTCCTTTTGTTCAACTTTAGATGAAACCAAAAAAATTGGAGGCAGTGGAGCCATGAATACTTGAATGTTTGGACAATTTTTGGGAATATTTTAGAGTATTTTTGAAGGTACTTTGGAAGTACTTTGGGAGTACTTTAGTCTTTTGTACGTGGTGCCTGTGGTGGGTGTAACAGCTCTGTGACGTTTCATTGTGAGATAAAAAAAACAAAAAACAGCTGTGAAATAAAATGAACTTGATCTTCAAAACACAGAGTCTCGTTTCAGTGTTTACGAGGACGCCTCATTGAGGCTACAGACCAGGTTCAGACCGGGTTCAGACCGGGTTCAGACCGGGTTCAGACCGGGTTCAGACCGGGTTCAGACCGGGTTCAGACCGGGTTCAGACCGGGTTCAGACCGGGTTCAGACCGGGTTCAGACCGGGTTCAGACCGGGTTCAGACCGGTTTAGACCGGGTTCAGACCGGGTTCAGACCGGGTTCAGACCGGGTTTAGACCGGGTTTAGACCGGGTTCAGACCAGGTTCAGACCGGGTTCAGACCAGGTTCAGACCGGGTTCAGACCAGGTTCAGACCGGGTTCAGACCAGGTTTAGACCCAGTGTCCTGAGGATTTGAGTTCCAGAGTCAAAAGTGCAGTAAATTCACACTTTAAAGTGTTTTATTTTGATCGTGTTTGTTCAGTTAAACATCGACGTGTGTTGGATTTATTTATTAGAACTGAACAGTTAATAGTTATAAACGTTGTGACTTTTTCAAAAGTCGCTGTAGAAATAAAATATAAGTGTATTATAAAATATTATAAAAGGAAATTCACTCTGTGGCCTGTGATTTTAGAGTTAAATCTTAGATATTTAACTCTGTTTAATCTAAAGATTTGAGTCGTTTCAGTCATTTCTCTAGTGGAGCACATTCACACTAATGAACCACGCACACTCATGAACCACGCACACTAATGAACCACGCACATGCACACTAATGAGTTCAGATTTGACACAACTGTCTGAAGTCTGATCACTGTGTGAAAAAGCATCAAATGAGCTCAAGTCCCACCTGTTTAACTGAGCTTTTTAAAATTATTTATTTATGTATTTATTTTGGGCAAGTAAGAGATTTAGATTCTTATACAGTGGAACATGTAACATTAGTGAAATTATAATAGAAAAACCACAACAACAATGTGGTGGGGTTCTTCCAAAAAACTCAGGCTTAGGCAGGAAATGCTTTTCGGTGATTTATTGTGTCTCCAACAGTGCAAAAGGTGCCAAACGTGAGTGCAAAAATATTTACAGTGGTGGTGTGAAAAACAAAAATGACAAAAGTTTTTGGTGGACTTCCCCTTTAAGTCCGGCAAAGTTTCTCTGGTTCACTCCACCCAAGTTACCTCCACTGCAACCTGGTCGCCACTGCCCACAGAGCTGGAGAGCGCACCTTTATATCCCCGGTTTGCCCCTCCCACATTATATAATTCCCCCCAATAATCATGATTTCGCCGTTTCTACAATCAAACGGCCTATGTTCTATAGCACGATGGTTATATACCCGTAACAGCTCGCGCCCAGAATGAACAGGTCTTAAATACAACGTCTGAGAGACAGACAATACATTTAATTGCCCATGCAAATTAGTTGTTGCCCACCTGATTCCCGGAACCCACGCAACGACCGGATTTAAACTCCCAGCGCGGATGTGTCCGGGTTTGCCAGAACACACCACGGAAGGAGGCGAAGGCGGCGGCGCGAGGGGAAGTGAATGTCTGGATTGGCTTTAGATGAATTGAATAAGCGCTTCCAAGTGTGCACCCTTAGTCGCGGAAAGACACGCAGGAGATGTTGGGAGAATTTTATTGTAAAACAGTGATTTTGGTAGGAACTGGTACGGCGAGCGGTGCGCAATAACTACGGCGCGCATCTTCACGTGCTCTCCCCCAGGACGGCGTTGTTAGGGACGAGCCTCCGTCACAAACAACAACAACAAAACACTGCTCCAAAAGGAGTGAGAAGAAGAAACCTTATTTAATCCAACTTCCTCTTCTACTTTAACAGGAGTTTTCTTTTGCATTTTACATTAAACTCTTTGAACTATTTACAAATGCAGACAAAGAGTCAGTGTTGTAGCTCGGCAACTTAACCTCATCATCTTGCAGTTACACAGAACATCGTAGGTTCTAATATTAAGACCCTCTGTTGATTCACTGTGGTCAGAGTTTGTTTATTTGCTCTGGTCCTCTGCACCTCGACCTGTTGAGGAAATAACTGGAATAATTCATTCTGAACAAATATCAAACGTGACTGAGCTCAGGACGTTTAAATGACACAGTTTTCTTTGGATAAAAAGCAACGTTTGTGTCTCTGGGCTCAGGTCCTGCACACGACGACATCTTCAGAATCACCACGACGACGACATCTTCAGAATCACCATGACGACATCTTCAGAATCACCATGACGACGACATCTTCAGAATCACCATGACGACATCTTCAGAATGCAGTTGTCTGAAGACTGGCCCTTGCAGCCGAGCATTTTACTGTGTCACCAAAACCGTCACAGTGTCGCACAAATAATCTCCAACTGTCTTCTCTTAGAACAAGTGATGAGTGTTTAAGTTTATTAAAGGGAATTGAACCTTTCTGCAGGAGGAAAAGTCCCTGAGCTCCTCCAAAAACGACCCACGAGACTCAATTTTTAAAAATCCATTTGAAATGAACTAAGTTAATAGTCGATGTTTTTATGACTTTAAACTCATCAGAATCTGACAAAGTTTCTCTGGTAAAAATTTGATCAACATCTGTGTCACATGAGGAACCGAGGCTCTAAAGAAGATCAAACCTGGACTGAGACTCTCCACCGTCCACATGAAAACTCAGAACAGAGTGAGATTTGTGTCAGAAATGTTCATTCTCTCAAATATTCAGGTTCAGTTAGTTTATAAAGATCTGCTTGGAGTAAATTGATCTTGGACCTCAAAAGTTAGAAAAAAAAAATTTAGCGGCAAATAAATGTGAGATTTAGTTGCTAAATGTGAGATTTAATAAAGACACAATATTTGACAAAAATTCAGAATCTATGACCAAGAATCTACAATAAAACAAATGTTCATCATCTTCACTCTTTTGATGTTCTGGTCTCAAACATGTTTATAAATTAAAGTTTCAGAAAAAGTGAACATGGCTCCAACATTTCAACGAACCAAAACTCAGGAACGACTCAAGGGACTGAGATAAAATTTGAAATTCTTTCATTTGGTGATTTTAGAAATGTTTTGAAATTTTTTCAGCCAAATCTGAGATGGATCATAGCGGAGGGCGGCTGATTTAATACAGAATGACCCTCTTATGTCACAGATAATACTCCCTACAGTTGTACAGTTCACTTATGTCACAGATAAATTCACTCTCTTGCAGTTGTACGTTGGATGTCTTTCGTTTTTTACACTGAAATCAGTCGACTGCAACATGAGCAGGAAATGGACGGTACCCTGACCATATTTGGATGCAGTTTGTGTGGAAACAGTGAAAAACACTTATTTTATACATCAAGAAACATTTTTCCAAGTTTGGGTTGAAGTTTTTTAATTAAAAACATCCTGAGCTGCACTGCCGCTCCGCTCCACCAGGGGGCACCAAACAGGACTACAAACATGGAGCCTGCTGAAATAACAGGACTACAAACATGGAGCCTGCTGAAACTCAAAGCTGTTTATAAATATTAATTAAGTACTGGTTCAGTCCTGGTCTAGTCCTGGTTCAGTCTGGTCTGGAGCTCTGTGGGGCTCAGTCCTCGGTCCAGGGGGCATCCTTCCACCAGACTGTTGACCGGAGTGGGCGGGACCACGAGCTCCTGACCGCTGTGCCACAGGAAGTCCTTCAGCAGCGGCAGCAGCTTCTTCCTGGACGCCACGCTGTTCCCTGCACAGACCAGACCAAGACCAAGTCCGGTTTAACCAAGATCTTAACCAGGATCATAACCAGGATCATAACCAGGATCATAACCAGGACCACAACCAGGACCACGCAGCGGGAATTACAGACGGGGTATTTTTAATTTAATGTTTAAGGACGTCACAGTCGCATTAGACGAGTCAGACGCTTTGAGAGTTTTAGCACAAGTGCAGTTTTCAACACGTCCATATAAAAAAATAATAAAATATAAATAAAAATCTAAACTACATGAATAAAAACAGATAAGACAAGAAACATACAGATCAAATATAGACAGGACATTTTCAGTGAGAGCAGCAGCAGCAGCAGCAGCAGCAGCAGCAGCAGCAGCAGCAGCAGCAGCAGCAGCAGCAGCAGCAGCAGCAGCAGCAGCAGCACAGTAAGACAAAAGAACTTACAAAAGAACAAGACAAGACAAGATTAAAACTAGACAAGGACAGACAAGTTAGAGCAGCAGCAGCAGCAGCAGCAGCAGCAGCAGCAGCAGCAGCAGCAGCAGCAGCAGCAGCACGTTAAGGACACTTACAAAAGAACTTAAGACGATTAAAAACTGGTCAAATGTTCCAAGTTAAACAGTTATGTTGGTTTAAATGTTGCAGTTGTGGCTTTTGTCTGGACTTTTTCTCAAGGACCTTCAGGGTTTGTTTACACGAAGACGACAAAGCGACAAAATATTTGATCGTTAGTGTGTTTTGTTTAGATGGTGACGGCGTTTCTGTCGACAAGACGCGTGTTTACGACACACGAACGACAACACGACCGACACACGAACCGACACACACGAACCCGACACACCGAACCTCAACACACGAACACACACACGAACCTCACACACACGAACCCGACACACACGAACCCGACACACACACACGAACCGACACACACGAACCGAACACGAACCCACACACGAACGAACCTACCCGACACACACGAACCGACACACCCGACACACACGAACCCGACACACACGAACCGACACACACGACACACACGAACCCGACACACGAACGACACACACGAACCCGACACACGAACCCGAACCGACACACACGACACCCGACACACACGAACCCGACAACACGAACCCGACACGAACCCGACACACACGACCGACACACACGAACCCGACACACGAACCGACACACACGAACCTCACACACACGAACCCGACACACACGAACACACGACCGACACACGAACAGACACACACGATCACCCGACACCGACACCGCGAACCCGAACACACACACACCGACACACCGAACACACACGGACCGAACCCGACACACACGAACCCGACACACACGAACCCGACACACACGAACCGACACACACGAACTCACACCAAACCCGACAATACACACCGACACACGAACCCGACGACCCACGACCCCGACACACACGAACCCGACACACACGAACCGAACCACACACGAACCGACGACACACACGAACGAACACACGACCACACACACGACACACCCCGACAACCGACCCGACACACACACAGAACCGACACACACGAACCCGACACACACACGAACCCGACAACACACGACCACACACCAACCCGACACACACGAACCCGACACACACGAACCGACACGACACACACGAACCCACACACCGAACCGACACACACACGAACCACACAACGACACACACGACCACGACGACCACACACGAACCGACACAACACAACACACCGAACGAACACACGAACCTCACACACACAAACGCCGACACACACACGACGCCGACACACAACGATTCCGACACACACCGAACGAACCCGACACACGACGAACCGGACACACACGAACACGACGACCACACACGACCCGACACGACACCACGAAACACGACACACACGAACACGACGACACACCGACGACACACACGAACCCGACACACACGAACCCGACAACACGAACCCGACACACACGAACGACACACACCGACACACCGAACCCGACACACACGACCCACACACACGAACCCGACTAACACACACACACGAACCGACACACACGAACCCGACCACAAACCCGACACACACGAACCCGACACACACGACCCGACGACACACACACCACGAACCCGACACACCGAACCCGACACACACGAAACCTCACACACACAAACCCGACACACACAAACCCGACACACACGAACCCGACACACACGAACCCGGACACACACACAAACGACACACACGACAGCCCGACACACACGACCCGACACACACGAACCCGACACACACGAACCCGACACACACGAACCCGACACACACGAACCGACACACACACCGACACCGACACCGACACCGAACACGACGAACCGACACACACAACCCGACACACACGAACCCGACACACACGAACCCCACACACACGAACCCACACACCCACACACACACGAACCCGACACACACGAACCCACACACACACGACACCCGACACACACACGAACCCGACACACACGACACACGAACCCGACACACACGAACACACACGAACACCACGACACACACCGACACCCCGACACACACGAAGCCGACACACACACGAACCCGACACACACGAACCTCACACACACGACACCCGACACACAACGACACACGACACACACGAACCCTACACGCACACGAACCCGACACACACGAACCCGACACACACGAACCTCACACGCACACGCACACGAACCGACACACGAACACACACACGAACCCGACACACACGAACCTCACGACACACACACCCGACACCCGACACACACGAACCCGACACACACGAACCTCACGCACACAGTCCACTTCCACACATGTTTGTGTCACCGTCTCGTCTAAACGCAGAATAAAAAGTGAGGACGCGTCATAAACGAGGAGTCGGTTTGTAATGAGCAGAGGTTCAGTGCAGCTGAGGACGACTGGGACATGAGGTGATACGAGAAGTTCGATGACAGAAGATCATTGTGCTCATGAAGAGTTTTGAAGTCTGGAGCGTTAGATCTTTACGTATAAACGAAGCAATGGAGAGTAGTTTTAATCTTCTTCGTCAGTATTTAGTGAGAACGTCGTCTGAGTTCAGTGAAGAGGCTCGACATCTGGAGTCAGACTTTGTCTTATGAACAGGATTTTTCTGACGAACAAAATAATGAAAAAATGTCAGGATCCAGTGTCTCGGGTGAAGGGCACAGCAGCGAGAACAGAGACGAGCCCCAAGAGCCAAATGTGAGTCACAGGAGCCAGAGTCAGAAGGAGCCAGAAGAACCTCTGGAGAACTTCCTGTTTGACACACGACGGTGAGAGTCAGAGATGAACTCTCATGTGCACGATCTGTGTGTTTGGACATGGACAGGACAGGTGGAGGACAGGTGAGGACAGGTGGAGGACAGGTGAGAGGACAGGTGAGAGGACAGGTGAGAGGACAGGTGGAGGACAGGTGAGAGGACAGGTAGGAGGTGAGGACAGGTGGAGGACAGGTGAGAGGACAGGTGAGAGGACAGGTGGAGGACAGGTGGAGGACAGGTGAGAGGACAGGTGGAGGACAGGTGAGAGGACAGGTGGGACAGGTGAGACAGGACAGGTGGACAGACAGGTGAGAGGACAGGTGAGAGGACAGGTGGAGGACAGGTGGAGGTGGAGGACAGGTGGAGGTGGAGGACAGGTGGAGGACAGGTGAGAGGACAGGTGAGGAGACAGGTGACACAGGTGGAGGACAGGTGACAGGAGGACAGGTGAGAGGACAGGTGAGAGGAGGACAGGTGGAGGACAGGTGGAGGACAGGTGGAGGACAGGTGGAGAGGACAGGTGAGGACAGGTGGAGGACAGGTGAGAGACAGTGGAGGACAGGTGAGAGGACAGGTGGAGGACAGGTGAGGAGGTGGACAGGTGGAGGACAGGTGAGAGAGGACAGGTGAGAGGAGGTGGAGGACAGGTGGAGGACAGGTGAGAGGAAGGTGGAGGACAGGTGAGAGGACAGGTGAGAGACAGGTGGAGGACAGGTGGAGGACAGGTGGAGGACAGGTGGACAGGACAGGTGAGAGGACAGGTGAGAGGACAGGTGAGAGGACAGGTGAGGACAGGTGAGGACAGGTGGAGGACAGGTGAGAGGACAGGTGAGAGGACAGGTGACAGGTGGAGGACAGGTGGAGGACAGTGAGAGGACAGGTGAGAGGACAGTGAGAGGACAGGTGAGAGGACAGGTGAGAGACAGGTGACGAGGACAGGTGGAGGACAGGTGGAGGACAGGTGAGAGGACAGGTGGAGGACAGGTGGACAGGTGAGAGGACAGGTGAGGACAGGAGAGGACAGGTGAGAGGACAGGTGGAGGACAGGTGGAGGAACAGGTGAGAGGACAGGTGAGAGGACAGGTGGAGGACAGGTGGACAGGTGAGGACAGGGGAGGACAGGTGACAGGTGAGGACAGGTGGAGGACAGGTGGGACAGGTGAGAGGACAGGTGAGGACAGGTGGGACAGGTGGAGGACAGGTGAGAGGACAGGTGAGGACAGGTCAGGTGGAGGACAGGTGGAGGACAGGTGGAGGACAGGTGGGAGGACAGGTGAGAGGACAGGTGAGGACAGGTGGAGGACAGGTGAGAGACAGGTGAGGACAGGTGGAGGACAGGTGAGAGGACAGGTGTGGAGGACAGGTGAGGACAGGTGAGAGGACAGGTGAGAGGACAGAGGACAGTGAGGACAGGTGAGGACAGGTGAGGAGGACAGGTGAGAGGGACAGGTGAGGTGGAGGACAGGTGAGAGGACAGGTGAGAGGACAGGTGAGGAGGTGGAGGACAGGTGAGGACAGGTGGAGACAGGTGAGAGGACAGGTGAGAGGACAGGTGGAGGACAGGTGGAGGACAGGTGAGGACAGGTGGAGGACAGGTGGAGGACAGGTGAGAGGAGAGGACAGAGGACAGGTGGAGGACAGGTGGAGGACAGGACAGGTGAGAGACAGGTGGACAGGGAGGTGAAGGTGGAGGACAGGTGTGAGGACAGGTGAGAGGACAGGTGGAGGACAGGAGGACAGGTGAGAGGACAGGTGGAGGACAGGTGGAGGACAGGTGGAGGACAGGTGAGACAGGGACAGGTGGAGGACAGGTGAGAGGACAGGTGGAGGACAGGGACAGGTGGAGACAGGTGGACAGGTGGAGGACAGGTGGAGGACAGGGGTGAGGACAGGTGAGAGGACAGGTGGAGGACAGGTGGAGGACAGGTGACAGGTGAGGACAGACAGTAGAGGACAGGTGAGAGGACAGGAGAGGACAGGTGGAGGACAGGTGGAGGACAGGTGGAGAGGACAGGTGGAGGACAGGTGAGACAGGGACAGGAGGACAGGTGGAGGACAGGTGGAGGACAGGTGGACAGGTGAGAGACAGGTGGAGGACAGGAGGACAGTGGGACAGTGGAGGACAGGTGAGAGGACAGGTGACGAGGACAGGTGGGAACAGGTGGAGGACAGGTGAGAGGACAGGTGGAGGACAGGTGAGAGACAGGGGAGGACAGGTGGACAGGTGGAGGAGGGACAGGTGGAGGACAGGTGAGGAGGACAGGTGAGAGGACAGGTGAGGACAGGTGACAGGTGAGGACAGGTGAGGTGGAGACAGGTGAGAGGACAGGTAGGAGGTGGGGACAGGTGGAGGACAGGTGGAGGACAGGTGAGGACAGGTGAGAGACAGTGTGAGGACAGGTGGAGGACAGGACAGGTGGAGGACAGGTGGAGGACAGGTGAGAGGACAGGTGGAGGACAGGTGACAGGTGGAGGACAGGTGGAGGACAGGACAGGTGGAAGGACAGGTGAGAGGACAGGTGAGGAGGACAGGTGAGGAGGACAGGTGGAGGACAGGTGGAGGACAGGTGAGAGGACAGGACAGGTGGAGGACAGGTGGAGGACAGGTAGAGGACAGGTGGAGGACAGGACAGGTGAGAGGACAGGTGGACAGGTGAGAGGACAGGTGGACAGTGGACAGGACAGGTGAGGTGGACAGGTGGAGGACAGGTGGAGGACAGGTGGAGGACAGGTGGACAGGTGAGAGGACAGGTGGAGGACAGGTGGACAGGTGGAGGACAGGTGGAGGACAGGTGGACAGGTGAGAGGACAGGTGGAGGACAGGTGAGGACAGGTGTACCTTGGTGGAAGGCGGTGACGTGTGGATGGACACAGCTGATTGGCCGAAGGTCCAGGGCGGGGTTTTCTGCCTGTTCCAGGTAAAGACTCACCTGAAGAGACCAGAGTTAGACCAGGACTGAACCAGGACTAAACCAGGACTAAACCGTGGGAGACTTGCCTGCTCTCTGATTGGCTGGCTGAGACTGAACACTCCGAGCTCTCTGATTGGTCGCTGGGTCGCAGTGAAAGAGATTGACATGAGCAGGAGCGAATCAAATCCCATCTTCTGAGTGAAGGCCGAGAGCTCCGCCTCCACGTCAGCGCGACACAGGAAGTCCTGGAACCACAACAGGAAGTGATCAAAGTTCTGCTCAGAAGCTGTTTACCAAAGTTCTTACGGAGAACGAGGTGGAGTCAAACGTTTAAGAGAAACATGAAGATCGTCCACAGATTTACGACGGAATAAAAACACGACACAATGAGAGAAGAAAAGAACAAACGTCAAACCATCAACACCAGAGACAAACATCTGTGGACAAACGTCTGCTGGAGGAGGACGAGGAGGAGGACGAGGGAGGAGGAGGACGAGGAGGAGGACGAGGAGGAGGACGAGGAGAGGACGAGGACGAGACGAAGGAGGAGGAGGAGGAGGAGGAGGAGGACGAGGAGAGGAGAGGAGGAGACGAGGACGAGGAGGAGGAGGAGGACGAGGGAGGACGAGGAGGAGGAGGAGAGGACGAGGAGGAGGGAGGAGGAGGAGGAGGAGACGAGGGACGAGGACGAGGACGAGGACGAGGAGGAGGAGGAGGACGAGGAGGAGGACGAGGACGAGGAGGAGGACGAGGAGGAGGACGAGGAGGACGAGGACGAGGAGAGACGAGGAGGAGGAGGAGGACGAGGAGGAGGACGAGGAGGAGGACGAGGACGAGGAGGACGAGGAGGAGAGGACGAGGAGGAGACGAGGACGAGGACGAGGACGAGGAGGACGAGGACGAGGAGGAGGACGAGGAGGAGGAGGAGGGAGGAGGACGAGGAGGAGGACGAGGAGGAGGACGAGGAGGAGGAGGACGAGGAGGACGAGGAGGAGGAGGAGGAGGACGAGGAGACGAGGAGGACGAGGAGGACGAGGACGAGGAGGAGGAGGAGGACGAGGAGGAGGAGGAGGACGAGGAGGAGGAGGAGGAGGAGGAGGACGAGGACGAGGACGAGGAGGAGGACGAGGACGAGGAGGAGGACGAGAGGAGGACGAGGAGGACGAGGAGGAGGAGGACGAGGAGGAGGAGGAGGAGGAGGAGGAGGACGAGGAGGAGGACGAGGAGGAGGGAGGACGAGGACGAGGAGGAGGAGGACGAGGACGAGGACGAGGAGGAGGACGAGGACGAGGAGGAGGAGGAGGACGAGGAGGAGGACGAGGAGGAGGACGAGGAGGAGGAGGAGGAGGAGGACGAGGAGGAGGAGGACGAGGAGGAGGACGAGGAGGAGGACAGGAGGAGACGAGGAGGAGGAGGACGAGGAGGACGAGGAGGACGAGGACGAGGAGGAGGGAGGAGGACGAGGAGAGGACGAGGAGGACGAGGAGGAGGAGGAGGACGAGGAGGAGGAGGAGGACGAGGAGGAGGACGGAGGAGGAGGAGGAGGAGGACGAGGAGGAGGAGGACGAGGAGGACGAGGAGGAGACGAGGAGGAGGAGAGGAGAGAGAGGACGAGGAGGACGAGGAGAGAGGACGAGGAGGAGGAGAGGAGGAGGAGGACGAGGAGGAGGAGGAGGAGGAGGAGGAGGAGGAGGACGAGGACGAGGAGGAGGAGGACGAGGAGAGGACGAGAGGAGGAGGAGGAGGACGAGGAGGACGAGGAGGAGGAGGAGGACGAGGAGGAGGAGGAGGAGGGAGGAGGGAGGAGGAGGAGGAGGAGGAGGAGGAGGAGGAGGACGAGGAGGAGGAGAGGACGAGGAGGAGGAGGAGGGAGGAGGAGAGGAGGAGGACGAGGAGGAGGGAGGAGGAGGACGGAGGAGGAGGAGGAGGAGGAGGAGGAGGACGAGGAGGGAGGAGGAGAGGAGGAGGAGGGAGGAGGACGAGGAGAGGAGGAGGAGGACGAGGAGGAGGAGAGAGAGGAGGACGAGGAGAGGAGGACGAGGGAGGACGAGGACGAGGAGGAGGAGGACAGGAGGAGGAGGAGGGAGGAGAGAGAGGACGAGGAGGAGGAGGAGGAGGACGAGGAGGAGGACGAGGAGGAGGAGGAGGAGGAGGAGGAGGAGGAGGAGGAGGAGGAGGACGAGGACGAGGAGGAGGAGGACGAGAGAGGAGAGAGGAGGAGGAGGAGAGGAGGGAGGAGGAGGACGGAGGAGGAGGACGAGGAGGAGGACGAGAGAGAGGACAGGAGGAGGAGGAGAGGAGGAGGACGAGGAGGAGAGGAGGACGAGGAGGAGGAGGAGGAGAGGAGGGAGGAGGAGGAGAGGAGGAGGGTGTAGTACCTGTAGTGGGAGGTAGAGGACGCTGATGCCAAGGTTCAGGTCGGGTCCAGACACAGACTTCAGATCCTTCAACAACATCTGCTCCGAGTTCAGACCTGAAACAGACCAGGACTAAACCATTACCAGACCAGGACCAGACCAGGGCTAAACCAGGACTAAACCAGGACTAAACCAGGACTAAACCCGGACTAATCCCGGACTAATCCCGGACTAATCTAGGACCAGAGCAGGTCTTACCGCTGACGTTGAACTTGGCCTGCTGCAGCTCGGTGAACAGCTCAGATCTTTGGGGCAGAGTCTGGACTTTGGTCTGGAGCTGAAGAACCACCTCTGAGTCTTTAGGAGTCACTTTCCCCGCCTCAGGAGCCAAGTCCACACAGTCCACCAGGATGGTCCCTGCAAGAGCCCGAGAAGAACCAGGACTGAACCGGGACTGAACCAGGTCAGAACCAAGGGGTGGGGCTGAGGGGGCGGGGCTGGGTGTGAGGGGGCGGGGCTGGGTGTTACCGTAGAGCAGAGTGGCGATCTGAGCGTCCAGCAGCTGTGGCGCCCTCTGCAGGACTCTCTCTGCCACCAGCGTCGCACATGACCCCACGGGCTCCACGGCAACGGAACAGGAAGTGACGGGCTCCACGGCAACGGGACAGGAAGTGACTCGCTCCAGTTTGTGGTGATCGATGACTTCGAGCACCGCCCCCTCCAGGTCGCTGTCAGAACTGCACAGAGACAAATCCACAACATCACGACATGTCAACGTTTACCGAGCGTTTCTAGAACGATTGTGTCCCCGCCGCCGCCGCCGCCGCCGCCGCCTGTTTGAAGAGCGGCGGCATCTGACGAGTCTCATTTGGACTAAACCTGAACATAAACCCGACTGTGAAGATAAATT